TTGATGATGATCACATGGGTTGGTGATGATCACATAGGTTGGTGATGATTACATAGGTTGGTGATGATTACATAGTTTGGTGATGATCACATAGGTTGGTGATGATCACATAGGTTGGTGATGATCACATAGTTTGGTGATGATCACATAGGTTTGTGATGATCATATAGGTTGGTCATATCACATGGGTTAGTGATGATCACATAAGTTGGTGATGATCACATAGGTTGGTGATGATCACATAGATTGGTGATGATCACATAGGTTGGTGATGATCACATAGTTTGGTGATGATCACATAGGTCGGTCATGGTTACATAGCAGGTTGGTCATTGTCCAGTTGTAGATTGGTTATGGACAGTTGCAGGTTGTTCATGGTCCATTTGCACAGTCTGCTCATGGACCAGTTGCAGGTTGTTCATGGTCCAGTTGCAGATTGTTCATGGACCAGTCAGGTTGTTCATGGTACAGTTGCAGGTTGTTCATGGACCAGTTGTAGGTTGTTCATTGTCCAGGTGCAGGTTAGTTATGGACCAGTTGTAGGTTGTTCATTGTCCCGTTGCAGGTTGTTCATGGACCAGTTGCAGGTTGTTCATTGTCCAGTTGTAGGTTGGTTATGGACCAGTTGCAGGTTGTTCATGGTCCAGTTGCAGGTTGACCATGGAGCAGTTGCTGGATCGTCTTTAAACTATCCTCATGTGGCCCCGAGTCAATTGTCAGCAAGAGCATCTTTGAATGGTTTGAATTTGAGAACCTTCCCTATGCTGCATGTTGGCTGTTTTTTGTTTTAAATCTACACTGCCAAGATTTGCTTTACATCATAGTCGTACGACCTTAAGGATTAAGTGCACACAACATTTAATGTGTACTAGTTGTCTGGACCTTATATGGTAAGTGCACACAACATTTAATGTGTACTAGTTGTCTGGACCTTATATGGTAAGTGCACACAACATTTAATGTGTACTAGTTGTCTTGACCTTATATGGTAAGTGGACACAACATTTAATGTGTACTAGTTGTCTGGACCTTATATGGTAAGTGCACACAACATTTAATGTGTACTAGTTGTCTGGACCTTATATGACCTTACACAACATTTATAATGTATTACTTCCCGGACAACAAGTGTCCATTATAGCAACCTCCTGACTCTGCAAACCACGCAAATGATATCGCTTTAAAATACAAGTTATGCGACGAAAAGAGACAATGTTCTAGATAATGTCAGTAATGTGTAAGAATCGGACTAAACAAATATAGAATGAAATTATCGTGAGGATATCGCCACCATTATGCGTACACACAAATGGTATGACTGTTTACATTTAGAGTTAAGACAATAATTTTGTGCTAACCCCTCTCCCACTAACCCCTCTCCCACTAGCCTCTCTCCCACTAACCCCTCTCCCACTAACCCCTCTCCCACTAACCCCTCTCCCACTAACCCCTCTCCCACTAACCCCTCTCCAACTAACTCCTCTCCCGCAAACCCCTCTCCCACCACTAGTGAGGGTGAGGGTATTTTCTCCTGTTTCCTGAGAGTTCCATAACGATGATATGTTATATGGGCCAATGCCATCCTAATCTTTCCATGGTAGGATGATGCATGGCTTGATTAAAGCCTTTGCCTTTGAGGGTCAACATAGGAACACATAGTTGTCTATGCAGTGTCCTTAGAAAGTGATCGTTCATTGTAGTGGGCCCGGACTGGAAAGATAACGCAGAAGAAACATCCTTTAGTTGTTGGACATTTCTTTAAAATGCCAGAGACCGCGTCTTGGGTCATTTGGCCTTGATGGTAATATAAAAGTTTGGGCGCTTTGAACGCCAGAACTCACTTTACACACCCGGAAAGCAGTATATATATATATATATATATTTGTCCTGACAACTGTCTGCTTAATGTTACGATGGAGGCAGACTTCGCAGAACGAAATCTCAAGTTCTGGGAATTTTATTTTTACGAGGATAGGCTGGTCCCCCTACACAGCAAATCGCGTCTCTCTACACTGATGGATAACCCAAGAGAACATCCTATGCGGATGATGCAGCTTGGCACCAGTGGCGTCGCAGGAGCTGTCGGAATTTTTCATAATGTCAATGTTATCCGCCTACGGGACTCTCTCCGGGTTTGAATTCAGAGTTTTTTTTGTGTTTTTTTTATATGAGTTGCCATCCTAGGTTAACGATGCCCATCTCTTAGATGAGTTGCCATCCTAGGTTAACGATGCCCATCTCTTAGATGAGTTGCCATCCTAGATTAACGATGCCCATCTCTTAGATGAGTTGCCATCCTAGGTTAACGATGCCCATCTCTTAGATGAGTTGCCATCCTAGATTAACGATGCCCATCTCTTAGATGAGTTGCCATCCTAGGTTAACGATGCCCATCTCTTAGATGAGTTGCCATCCTAGGTTAACGATGCCCATCTCTTAGATGAGTTGCCATCCTAGATTAACGATGCCCATCTCTTAGATGAGTTGCCATCCTAGGTTAACGATGCCCATCTCTTAGATGAGTTGCCATCCTAGGTTAACGATGCCCATCTCTTAGATGAGTTGCCATCCTAGGTTAACGATGCCCATCTCTTAGATGAGTTGCCATCCTAGATTAACGATGCCCATCTCTTAGATGAGTTGCCATCCTAGGTTAACGATGCCCATCTCTTAGATGAGTTGCCATCCTAGATTAACGATGCCCATCTCTTAGATGAGTTGCCATCCTAGGTTAACGATGCCCATCTCTTAGATGAGTTGCCATCCTAGGTTAACGATGCCCACCACCCGGGTGTTTGATGTTTTTGCTTGACTAAGTCTTTGGTAGGGATTGAACGCTAGACCAATACATTTATAAATGAAATCCTTTTTTGAGTTGGTTAAGCGCTGATACCTTTAAAAAACTCATTTATTAATGGGAAATTAAAAAAAAATAATAAAAAGGTTTAAAGATAATAAATGATAATAAATGAAGGACTGCGTTCAAAGGACAAATGACAAATGATGTATTTTTAATTGTCCTGTTTGCTAAGGAAGGCTCATAGCCGATACGTTCACATCTAATTGTCCTGTATTTTGATTCAAACTTCCACATACATTGTTCTACTATTTCAAAATAGTTTTATGGTTTTAAAATATTTCAAATAAATATTACAAAAGAAAACTATATAAAAACAAAAAAGGATGTGTATAAACTCAACAAGGTCAAGTAACTTAAGTATAACAGAAATCCTTCTGTAGAATGATGCATAATTAAATTCCTGTATGCGCCTGAATGACTCCTTGTGCAATGAATTTATTTCAAAAATGAGCCCCTTCACCAGACCCCCTCCCTTTTGGATTGGGAGCCATCCGCGCCCTTGATTTCAGTCTTCTCCCCCTCTCACCGATCAATGTCACGGCCCAGCACTTTTCTGTACATAGCGGAACCTGGAAATAACTCAAAACATCGGGGTCAAAATAAAAGTGGTGCTGTTTACGTCATCAGCCAGGGCACGTTAGCGCATTTGCCAGGGACATCGTTATTTCAAGGTTCGCTATTTTCAAGTTTCACTAGCAAAAAGCACTATAAACTGTACACGTACTGTTGTTTTTGTGTGAGTTTTGTTGTTGTTGCTGTTGTCAAGCACAAAGTCCGCGCCGGGCGGCACAATGCCTTTCTAAGCGACTTGGCACATCTAACCAAGAGATCTGAACGATAGAGAATTCAATGCACAGCAAGGATATACTATAATCGATAAAAAAATTTATTCCTTTATTACACCTTCAAACATTTTCAAGTGAAAATGAGACACCAGTCGTCCACAACCACAGTTTGGAGAGTTATATGACCCCACCCCCCACCCAATCTGCAGACTTTGGCAAACACATGTGTTGTTTGAGTTTCATTTAATGTCGCAACCCGACTTCATTTTCGACATTACTCTCGAATTTATTTACTTAGTTATATTTGCCATCACAGATTTTAAAAGATATATTATAAACAAACGCCCTCCCCAAAAGCACGCCCCTGGAAACAGTTGCTGTTTTAAATAAGTGGAAATGTATTTATAAATTGTCTTTGAATACGCTGCTGTCAAACCACTAAATGACGCCGAAATACTCCAGTAAACTGTACCAGTGGATGCTGAAATGCCCCAGTAAATTGTACCAGTGACCTGAAATAGAACCTAAATTTGTTCCATAAAATGTTCGCATGTTCTACCAGAGACCAATTATTACTGCATGTGCTTTATTTATATACGTTTATATTTAGTTCCTTATGTTAAACAGTGTGCAGTGCTTTTCAGCGGACACGCGAGGCCAGGGACCACCAACGCTTTGAGTCACATGGTACAATGGTCAACATATTATGCTTTTAGCAACGGTTAAATTGTTTTTTAAAAAAACAACTTTTAAGATCACTTTGGGAAATAAATCATCTTTCCCCTTCATTATTCCACAGTGAACATGGCTCTTTCTTAAATTAAGACAAATATGACCCGATCTGTTTAAAATTAAGCAGTTTATCCCTGTTTGTGTTTGATCGCCCCGTGAACACCAGGGTTTTTGGTCCAGCTGACCCCCGCCCTTTCCCGTGATTGGTCACTGATTTGTGCGTGCGTCGTACTATCGCAAAATTTTAATTAAACCTACCTACATCAACAAGAACGTATATCAAGGTCGTCAAGGAATGACCGACCCACCGCGCGAACCTTATACTTTAGAACACCACTGAATCGAACAGAAACCCAAAGCGTCTTACAACGGGTCTGTCAAGACCTTTTTGTTGATTGCAGTTGCTTGACAAAATCAGCCCAGAGAATAACATGTTGATTCTCTAGTAGGAATCGATACGCTCAATATTTTTAGAATTATCGAGAAAATTATCGCCACTGTGGATATGTGAATATGTTGAAATAAAATCAGATACATTGATTGTAAATCAGCTTGATATGGATTCGAGTATGAGAACAAAAAACAGCGGGGAATCAGAAATCTCCAACACATCAACGGACACGAGATGAAGTTGTGAGCCAACGGTTTCCCTTCTCTCTTCTCTGAGGGATAACTTCTATAGATCCATTTGATCAAAGACGGAGACAGTGGATACATTTGACTGTAAAATATCGCCTGTTCGGGTGAGTAGGTCAATACGGCAAAGAACTCGAAGATTATTTTTAGTAGTATAGTTATATTAGATAAGTCGCATTCTATTTCGTACCCAAAGAGGTTAAATAAGGTGTCTCGAACTCGCGGATCGCGGGCCACTTGCGGCCCGCAAGACGATATTTTGCGGCCCGATACCTGACAGCAAAGTTCAGTGTTAATGCGGCCCGCGCGTTTGCCCCATTCTCATATTGCCTGTAATGTGGCCCTCCGTGACAGTTTCAGTAGAATCTAACTGACTAGTCTAATTCTGATTTTTATGTTTATATAGATTTAGATGTTGAATAAAACCATTTTTTAATTTTTTTAAAAATCGGACTCAAAGGTTTTATTTATAGCATTGTATGAGCCAAACTTTCGCCAAAGTTAGCATTTTATCACAGATTTTACAGGTTTGCAGACTTTAAAACACACAGAGACACGTTTCACATTTTTGCTGGCCCTTTCTACACACAGAGACACGTTTAACATTTTTGCTGGCCTTTCTACCCACAGAGACACGTTTCACATTTTTGCTGGCCCTTTCTACACACAGAGACACGTTTCACATTTTTGCTGGCCTTTTCTACACACAGAGACACGTTTCACATTTTTGCTGGCCCTTTCTACACACAGAGACACGTTTAACATTTTTGCTGGCCCTTTCTCCCTCAATGTGGAAGATACCCATCCCCGCTATATTATTTTATTTTTTGCGGTTTAAATGGAGCTGATTGATCTTCAATGGAATTCTGAACTCGATTATTCTAAGTTCAGGGAGGTGAATGTAACAACAGACAAGCTTGGACAAATTATGAGAACATTGCCCTCCACCTTCCCGCAATTCCAGGTTTTTCAAGAAGATCAAGTCAAAGTTCAGGGTCAAACGCACTGATGAGCATCTTCAAGCTATACTGAGTGTCTCAGTTGCTTCCTCACTCAAGCCCAATATTGGTCTCAAGCTATACTGAGGGTCTCAGTTGCTTCCTAACTCAAGCCCAATATTGGTCTCAAGCTATACTGAGGGTCTCAGTTGCTTCCTAACTCAAACCAAATGTTGCTCAGCTTTGTAAGAAAAAGCGCTGCCAGGTCTCTCGCAACGATGAGTAGGAGGAACAAAGTGAAGCCAAGGTCTTGGAGTAACCATAATGTTTTTATTTGTTATTAATAAAGGTTGAGCAGAGTGTAACAGTTGTACTTTATTGAATTTTTAATCGTTTTTTGTATGATACTTAATGCGGCCCACTCTCACTCAGTCTTTACCTTCTGCGGCCCCCGGATGATTTGAGTTTAGACCCCTGGGTAAAATCAACTTGATCCCTAGCTGTATGTCTAAATTTTGTCTCTGATCCCTTGCTGTATGTCTAAATCTTGTCTCTGATCTCTAGTTGTATGACTAAATCTTGTCTCGAATCCCTAGCTTTATGTCTAAATCTTGTCTCTGATCCCTAGCTGTATGTCTAAATCATGTCTCTGATCCCTAGCTGTATGTCTAAATCGTTGATCCCTAGCTGTATGTCTAAATCTTGTCTCTGATCCTAGCTTTATGTCTTAATCTTGTCTCTGATCCCTAGCTGTATATCTAAATCTTGTCTCTGATCCCTAGATGTATGTCTAAATCTTGTCTCTGATCCCTAGCTTTATGTCTAAATCTTGTCTCTGATCCTAGCTTTATGTCTTAATCTTGTCTCTGATCCCTAGCTGTATGTCTAAATCTTGTCTCTGATCCCTAGCTTTATGTCTAAATCTTGTCTCTGATCCCTAGCTGTATAACTAAATCTTGTCTCTGATCCCTAGCTTTATGTCTAAATCTTGTCTCTGATCCATAGCTGTATGTCTAAATCTTGTATCTGATCCCTAGCTGTATATCTAAATCTTGTCTCTGATCCCTAGCTGTATGTCTAAATCTTGTCTCTGATCCCTAGCTGTATGTCTAAATCTTGTCTCTGATCCTAGCTTTATGTCTAAATCTTGTCTCTGATCCTAGCTTTATGTCTTAATCTTGTCTCTGATCCCTAGCTGTATATCTAAATCTTGTCTCTGATCCCTAGATGTATGTCTAAATCTTGTCTCTGATCCATAGCTTTATGTCTAAATCTTTTCTCTGATCCAAAGCTTTATGTCCACATCTTGTCTCTGATCCCTAGCTGTATGTCAAAATCTTGTCTCTGATCCCTAGCTGTATGTCTAAATCTTGTCTCTGGTCCTAGCTTTGTGTCTAAATCTTGTCTCTGATCAATAGCTGTATGTCTAAATCTTGTCTCTGATCCCTAGCTGTATATCTAAATCTTGTCTCTGATCCCTAGCTGTATGTCTAAATCTTGTCTCTGATCCAAAGCTTTATGTCAAAATATTGTCTCTGATCCCTAGCTGTATATCTAAATCTTGTCTCTGATCCCTAAATGTATGTCTAAATCTTGTCTCTGATCCCTAGCTTTATGTCTAAATCTTGTCTCTGATCCTAGCTTTATGTCTTAATCTTGTCTCTGATCCCTAGCTGTATGTCTAAATCTTGTCTCTGATCCCTAGCTGTATGTCTAAATCTTGTCTCTGATCCCTAGCTGTATGTCTAAATCTTGTCTCTGATCCTAGCTTTATGTCATAATCTTGTCTCTGATCCCTAGTTGTATGTCTAAATCTTGTCTCTGATCCCTAGCTGTATGTCTAAATCTTGTCTCTGATCCCCAGCTGCACATCTAAATCTTGTCTCTGATCCTAGCTTTATGTCTTAATCTTGTCTCTGATCCCTAGTTGTATGTCTAAATCTTGACTGTGATCCCTAGCTGTATGTCTAAATCTTGTCTCTGATCCCTAGCTGTATGTCTAAATCTTGTCTCTGATCCCTAGCTGTAAGTCTAAATCTTGTCTCTGATCCTAGCTTTATGTCTTAATCTTGTCTCTGATCCCTAGTTGTATGTCTAAATCTTGACTCTGATCCCTAGCTGTATGTCTAAATCTTGTCTCTGATCCCTAGCTGTATGTCTAAATTTGTCTCTGATCCCTAGCTGCATGTCTAAATCTTGTCTCTGATCCCTAGCTGTATGTCTAAATCTTGTCTCTGATCCTAGCTTTATGTCTATATCTTGTCTCTGATCCTAGCTTTATGTCCAAATCTTGTCTCTGATCCCTAGCTGTATGTCAAAATCTTGTCTCTGATCCCTAGCTGTATGTCTAAATCTTGTCTCTGGTCCTTGCTTTATGTCTAAATCTTGTCTCTGATCCCTAGCAGTTTGTCAAAATCTTGTTTCTGTTCCTTTTATGTCCAAATCTTGTCTCTGATCCCTAGCTGTATGTCAAAATCTTGTCTCTGATCCCTAGCTGTATGTCTAAATCTTGTCTCTGGTCCTAGCTTTATGTCTAAATCTTGTCTCTGATCCCTAGCTGTATGTCAAAATCTTGTCTCTGATCCCTAGCTGTATGTCAAAAATGTTGTCTCTGATCCCCAGCTGTATGTCTAAACCTTGTCTCTGATCCCTAGCTTTATGTCTAAATCTTGTCGCTGATCCCTAGCTGTATGTCTATATCTTATCTCTGATCCCTAGCTGTATGTCTAAACCTTGAATCTGATCCCTAGCTTTATGTCTAAATCTTGTCTCTGATCCCTAGCTGTATGTCTAAATCTTGTCTCTGATCCCTAGCTGTATGTCTAAATCTTGTCTCTGATCCCTAGCTGTATGTCTAAATCGTTGATCCCTAGCTGTATGTCTAAATCTTGTCTCTGATCCTAGCTTTATGTCTTAATCTTGTCTCTGATCCCTAGTTGTATTTTTAAATCTTGTCTCTGATGCCTAGCTGTATGTCTAAATCTTGTCTGTGATCCCCAGCTGTATGTCTAAACCTTGTCTCTGATCCCTAGCTTTATGTCTAAATCTTGTCTCTGATCTCTAGCTGTATGTCTATATCTTGTCTCTGATCCCTAGCTGTATGTCTAAACCTTGAATCTGATCCCTAGCTTTATGTTTAAATCTTGTCTCTGATCCTAGCTTTATGTCTAAATCTTGTCTCTGATTCCTAGCTGTATGTCTAAATCTTGTCTCTGATTCCCAGCTGTATGTCTAAACCTTGTCTCTGATCCCTAGCTTTATGTCTAAATCTTGTCGCTGATCCCTAGCTGTATGTCTAAACCTTGATTCTGATCCCTAGCTGTATGTCTAAATCTTGTCTCTGATCCCTAGCTTTATGTCTAATTCTTGTCTCTGATCCATAGCTTTATGTCTAAATCTTTTCTCTGATCCAAAGCTTTATGTCCACATCTTGTCTCTGATCCATAGCTGTATGTCTAAATCTTGTCTCTGATCCCTAGCTGTATATCTAAATCTTGTCTCTGATCCCTAGCTGTATGTCAAAATCTTGTCTCTGATCCCTAGCTTTATGTCCAAATCTTGTCTCTGATCCTAGCTTTATGTCTTTATCTTGTCTCTGATCCCTAGCTGTATGTCTAAATCTTGTCTCTGATCCCTAGCTGTATGTCTAAATCTTGTCTCTGATCCCTAGCTGTATGTCTTAATCTTGTCTCTGATCCCTAGCTGTATGTCTAAATCTTGTCTCTGATCCCTAGCTGTATATCTAAATCTTGTCTCTGATCCCTAGCTTTATGTCTTAATCTTGTCTCTGATCCCTAGCTGTATGTCTAAATCTTGTCTCTGATCCCTAGCTGTATGTCTAAATCTTGTCTCTGATCCCTAGCTGTATGTCTAAATCTTGTCTCTGATCCCTAGCTGTATGTCTAAATCTTTTCTCTGATCCTAGCTTTATGTCTTAATCTTGACTCTGATCCCTAGTTGTATGTCTAAATCTTGACTCTGATCCCTAGCTGTATGTCTAAATCTTGTCTCTGATCCCTAGCTGTATGTCTAAATCTTGTCTCTGATCCCTAGCTGTATGTCAAAAGCTTGTCTCTGATCCCTAGCTGTATGTCTAAATCTTGTCTCTGGTCCTAGCTTTATATCTAAATCTTGTCTCTGATCCCTAGCTGTATGTCAAAATCTTGTCTCTGATCCCTAGCTGTATGTCTAAATCTTGTCTCTGGTCATAGCTTTGTGTCTAAATCTTGTCTCTGATCCATAGCTGTATGTCTAAATCTTGTCTCTGATCCCCAGCTGTATGTCTAAACCTTGTCTCTGATCCCTAGCTTTATGTCTAAATCTTGTCGCTGATCCCTAGCTGTATGTCTATATCTTGTCTCTGATCCCTAGCTGTATGTTTAAACCTTGACTCTGATCCCTAGCTGTATGTCTAAACCTTGACTCTGATCCCTAGCAGTATGTCTAAATCTTGTCTCTGATCCCTAGCTGTATATCTAAATCTTGTCTCTGATCCCTAGCTGTATGTTTAAATCTTGTCTCTGATCCATAGCTTTATGTCTAAATCTTTTCTCTGATCCAAAGCTTTATGTCCAAATCTTGTCTCTGATCCCAAGATGTATGTCTAAACCTTGACTCCGATCCCTAGCTGTATGTCTAAATCTTGTCTCTGATCCCTAGCTTCATATCTAAATCTTGTCTCTGATCCCTAGCTGTACGTCTAAACCTTTTCACTGATCCCCAGCTGTATGTCAAAATCTTAAAATTGTCTCTGATCCCTAGCTTTATGTCTTAGTATTGTCGCTTGTCCCTAGCTGTATGTCCAAACTTGTCTCTGATCCCCAGCTGTACGTCAAAATCTTAAAATTGTCTCTGATCCTTAGCTTTATGTCTTAGTATTGTCGCTTGTCCCTAGCTGTATGTCCAAACTTGTCTCTGATCCCCAGCTGTACGTCAAAATCTTAAAATTGTATCTGATCCCTAGCTTTGTGTCTTAGTATTGTCGCTTGTCCATAGCTGTATGTCGAAACCTTGTCTCTGATCCCTAGCTGTATGTCTAAACCTTGTCTCACCAAATTTCAAGACAACATGCAAATTCTTATGGTTTAATCTCCGCATGAGTGGCTCAACCACTGGTGTAGGATGGGTGGGGCAGAGGGGCTGGTCAGTCCCGGTGATGCGCTTTTTCTATACATCGATGAGCGGCATTTTCTGGTGGCTGCAGAGTATTTTGTGGGGGGGGGCGAAAAATCTTTGCCCTCCCCGGGTGGCACTAGCCCCCACTTCATCACTGTGCTTTTAAAAGATAAATCTTTATTAGCCTCTTAAACCAACAAAAACTAACATAAATAAACACATATTCCTAAACCGGAGGAATCGAATATATATGGGAATCGAACCCTCTACTTGAAGTCAGGCTTCAGTAACAACTTAAATTCGGGTTTGCTTCGGTAACAAAAATAAGAGTTTCTCATTTCCTGGAAGACAGGCATTGATTGAGTTTTCTTCCAGCTGGGATTTCCCGGGAAATCCTGGGAATGAAACTGTAAAAGAATTCAATTGATTCCAGTTGTTTAATAGTTATTGTCTATTAATGAATTACAAACAACTTTAAGGTTAGTTGACAGGTTGGTCACATGCTACAAGTTCCTTCAGTTTCCACGGCTTATCCCTAGTCTATGGATTACAAGCTACTAATAAATTTTCAATAAAATTGTTGAAAGCTTTAATGTTGATACATCAATGATGGTATCAAAGTAAGCTATCCACTTAATTGACCCCGTTCGTGGTAATGGAAATACCTGAAATGTAATATATTTCCGTGCTTTGGTTCTATACAATGAGCATCAATTTTCTTGCTGTAAAAAAATCAACATCAATTTCTTGTGTGTATACAATCAAAATTATTTTCTTGTCGCTTATAATCAGCATTAATTCTCTTTTTTTTGGTATAAAATCATCATCAATTTTTCATGTTGATTTAGAACATAGATCTTTTGCTTAGCGCACGTTGGTATCATATATAACATAAAACTGAACAGAAAAAGAATGTCTTTGTATAACGGCCTGGGGCTCTGTGTCCAACGCCGGACTTATGTAACATTGACCTTCAGTTCTCCCTTCTTGATTGCCATACAAAATACACCAGGCCACACCGTACAACCAATGGCGCATGCACTAATCGATATGTACGTACCAAAGTCTACCTGTTCTAGCATATCACACCCAATGTCAATGGATCAGACATTGGCTGCGGCTTAACAATAATTTATTGAAACAAGGATTTCAGTGACAAGTCTGTAGCGTCCAGCCTTTTTAAAATAGATCATTATTGTTCAATGTATTTTACCTAGACTTAACTTTTTACCTCCGAAATAACCCCATCAGTCAACGATGTCATTTGCGTTGATGTAACCCCCCTCCCCCATAAACAAACGCAGATTCAAATGTTAAAATAGCACTTGACCTACTTATTTCAACCAAACTGTATCTCAAAGACAAAAAGCTAAACGCTGTGTTCAGATATTACACCGCAAGAGTGCATGTATACTCCAGGAGCCACTTTTATTTTTTTTTACTGGGACCGTGGTGGGTTCTCCACCCATGTTCTACTCCATATAATTATAAAATGTGACGTATTATTCTCCAATCGATTCGTTTAAAATAGTGGCCATTGAATATGTGTTTCACAGTGGCCCTTGAATACGTGTTCCACAGTGGTCCTTGAATACGTGTTCCACAGTGGTCCTTGAAAATGTGTTTCACAGTGTTCCTTGAAAATGTCCTCCACAGGGGTCCTTGACAAAATCCTCCACAGTGGTCCTTGGATATGCCCTTCACAGTGGTCCTTGGATATGTCCTCCACAGGGGTCCTTGAATATTTCCTCCACAGTGGTCCTTGAATATATCCTCCATATTATAATTTGCAAGGTAGTGGAAGTATTTTAAGAGAAGATAACCAGTGAGGCATTGCACCGCTGTTTCAGCTTTGAAATGTTCAATCAGGTGGTTATTGGGGAGTGAACTCTAAATTTAGTCAGGTGGCTATTGGGGAGAGAACTCTATATTTAGTCAGCTGGCCATTGGGGAGAGAACTCTATATTTAGTCAGGTGGCTATTGGGGAAAGAACTCTAAAACGAAAACCCATATGGTCAATGAAAGCTTGTCTTCTGGCACTGTTCCCTCTATTTGCAAGTCAGCTGTCATCACACCATTGCTTAAGAAGCCTGGTCTGGATGAAAATAATTTTTTTAAACTATATACCAGTATCTAATTTATCATTTTTATCTAAAGTCATTGAAAAACTAGTTCTAAAACAACGTTTTGCTTACTTAAACGACCCCTCTCTTCTCAGTCCTAATCAGTCGGCTTATAGACCTTTCCATATTACTGAGACGGCTCTCTTGAGAGTCACCAATGACCTCTTGCTCGCATTGGACAGCGGTGATATCTCCATCCTGATCCTCTTAGACCTCAGTGCGCCCTTTGACACTGTTGACCATGAAACCCTTTACACAACCCCTGAAAATTACTTAAGAATTTTTGGTTCAGTTTTGGCTTGGTTTAGGTCCTAGCTTTCCGATAGAATAGAGGCCGTCGCTGTCGATGGATGTCTCTCCGGCAGTGCTGACTTGGTGTACGGAGTGCCACAGGGGTCCGTTGTGGGCCCGGTTCTATTTACATTGTATACCAGGCCACTGCCCCTCTTGCCTGGGAGGCATGCTGTTGAGAACCAGTCATTTGCAGATGAAACGCAGCTATACAAACATACCCATCCTTCTCTTGTCGATTCCACTGTCCGGACTTTGCGGGAAAACATTGGTGATGTCAAAACATGGATGACACTCAGCAAGTTAAAGCTTAACGATGACAAAACGGAAGCACTCTTTATTCACGATCACAAATCATCCTCTTAATCAGCTCTCCTAAATTCATTTCAAGTAGGTAACTCCGACATACGGTTTACATCCTCCGCTAGGAATCTTGGTTATATTCTGTCCAACAACATGTCTCTGGATAATCATATCTCTCACATTTGTCGCTCTGCATACACCGCTATCCGTCAGATCAGCTCCAGCCACCACTTCCTCACAGTTAGCGCAACAAAAACCCCTAGTCTATGCTCTTGTTCTCTCTCGTCTTGACTATTGCAACTCTCTTCTTTCAGGTTCATCCAAACACGTCTTAGAAAAAATACAAAAGGTTAAAACTCACTTTCCAGGCTAGTTCTAAAGGCAACGAAAAAGAACGTGATCAAGTCACACCACTACTTCATTCACTTCATTGGCTCCCTGTACAAGCACTGATTGACTACAAACCCTCGGTTCTCTGCCATAACTTTTTCTCGAATCCCTGCCCTTCCTATCTAACCGAACTTTTCTGTCTATTCATCCCTTTGACAGCTTCGCACCTCTGCAGACGCGCGTATTCTTTCTGTTCCCAAGACACGCACAAAAACATATGGTGAACGATCTTTCTCTTTCTGTGCCTCCCAAACAATGGAATTCTCTTCCGCTACACACCTGCAATATACCGACCAACACAGCCTTCAAAACGGCACTCAAGACACATCTCTTTAAACTCTACTATCCTGACTGATTTCCCCCTCTGACCAATAAACGATGCTACTGGGTAGCTGTCCATGGCTTGGCTTGTAAATAGTTCATGAATGTGTGGAGTGAATATGCATTTGTTTTTTTAAAATTTATTTCATGTATGTTAGTTTTAAAGTTCATGATTATGTTTGTTAGATTGTATGTACAGCGTGGTGAGCCCAGCCCTATGCTGGGATACCACGCTATATAAAACCACTAATAATAATAATTATAATAATATTCAGACAGGTGGCTTTTGGGGAGAGAAATCCATGTCAGTCAGATGGCTTTTGGGGATAGAAAGCTATTTTCAGTCAGATGGTTATTGGGGAGAGAACTCTATATGGCTTTTGGGAAGAGGACTCTAAATGGCTATTGGGGAGAGAACTCTATATTCAAAGTCACGTGGGCATTGGGGAGAGAACTCTTGATTCAGTCAAGTGGCTATTTGGGAGAAAACTCTACATACATTCATTCACTCGTTTTCCAGAGATAGTAAGAGATTAATGAAGTAACATCCAGAGTACGCTCCCTTTCCCATGAGCATTGCAGCCCATGTACCTGGCTTTGAAATTTTGAACGATTGGCCAATGGCTTCACGGGTGATTGAAGGAGCGGTGTCTCGTAACGGGACTTTAGCTTACTATGCGGTACTAATTAAGTTTTTTTGAAAATGTTTGTTAATTCCACACAAAAAATTAACATATGTAAAAAAATATGCAGAGGAGTCAGAATAATCAATACATTGATCGTGGGCCCTCCCAAATATAGAAGGAGAAGAAAAATTCCTCTTAGAAAACGAAGTCGTTCAAACATTGATGGCTTGATACAATGCAGAAGAGAGAGACATGATACAAACGTAAAGGAAATCGTGCGATAAGAAGATTTCCAACTCAAGCAGTAATTGCATAACGTGACAAGTACAACAGACGATGAAACACACACACACACACACACTGTTATGTATGACACTTTCCCCGTGCGTGAACTTTGCTTGACCCCAAATTAGATTCCTGGCACACGCTACGTTCATAGATGGGCGTGGCCTATTCTTTTCATGTTACCGTGTTTTCTTCCGACAGCAACTAAAAATAATTAACATGTTCTCAATAGTATTTTGTAGAATGTTCGCGATTGTATTAGAAAAGTAAAGACATTTCTAGAAGCGTTGGTTGTACCGACGCATAGATATAAAAAGGGGATTCAGAGATTGAAGGGCAGAGATTCAGATAGATATTTTTAACTTCACGAGACGTGTATTATTCTTTGTGTGCTCATAGGTGTTTATTCGCATTCATCATTCATCATTATTAATTGGCACATTGTAGGCCTACTTATTGTGGACCGGGACAAGATTTCCCAATACTCTGTAAGTTGATGGTTTGTAATTATATTTCTTTAGTTTTGTAATTGTATTATTGCCAAATTAAATCTTACTAATTTTAATTGGCAACTGTTTTTTTCGTGTCGTAACTTTATTATTGTATTTCTCTATGGTATCGTCCTTTGTTGTGCACTGTGTGAATGAGCCATAAATTTAAAATACGAGAAGGCAGTGCGTAACACACACACACAAACACACACACACACACACACACAAACACACGATGATACGCGACATGGAGGTTTTTTTCGGTGGGGGGGGGGAATACAAAATAATTCTGTAATAGTTATCTTAATATGGCTGTTGTATTTAAATTAAGAAGGCCTGGAATAAGATTGTATTTACAAGTTGGGAGATAACACACACACACACACACACACAAACACACGATGATACGCGACATGGAGGTTTTTTTCGGTGGGGGGGGGGAATACAAAATAATTCTGTAATATTTATCTTAATATGGCTGTTGTATTTAAATTAAGAAGGCCTGGAATAAGATTGTATTTACAAGTTGGGAGATAATGGACAAGAAAATAGTGTTTAAAAAAACCCAACAAACTAAACACATGTGTTTGAAATGGGATTCGAACCCACGACTTCCCATCGCCCAATGAGTTGGCCAAAACCTGATACTAAATTTAGAAATATTGCGATAAACTTACTGCGGCTTAATGTTAGTGCATCTGGGACAATGGTAGACCTGTGTTTCCTGTTTACGTCCAAAACTTGAGATATTATGTTCTTACAGCTTTAAATTCGTTATCAATTCCTGACGTTTTCATAAATTTGTATTGTTTTCAATTTGTAAGTTCCACAAATAACTTGATGCTTAAAGATACAATTTTACAATAAGATAAGATAAGATAAGATACTTTTATTGATCCAAATAAATGGAAATGTTTTTTTTTTATTGCACTATACATTTTAAGCACAAAAATAAAACAATTTGAACACAAGTCATTTATAATAAATTATTTCAATTTTCAAACAGCCATTCAGTGAGTTCTCTTAGCAAAATCGGGGACTTATTTGTTCTCATTCAGATGTGTGACTTCAGAGGAAGCACGCCGGTAAATTCGTACAGATTGGGGAACAAAAGAATTTTTATATCTGTCAGTCTTCGCCCTGATGGAAAGAATTCGCCCCGAACGGCCCGATCCTAAATATCTGTGATGAAGAGGGTGGGATGTATCATCCAAAATGTGTTTAGTTTTGCAAAAAATATTTTTCTTCAAATAGTTCTTCAAGTGATATATGTTTAGTTTGTGTCATGTTCCTAGCTTTCTTGATTAGTCGGTTTATGCGGTGTTTAATATCAGACGTTGAATTCCCACACCAGCAGGTAATACTGAAATTAAGGAGGCTTCCAATAGTTGCCCTGTAGAATGAGTTAACGATTTCGTGACGTCATCACGAGTTTATACCTTAGTCGGCACAGAGTTGTCTGAGTCGGCATCGAGTTGTCTGAGTCGGCAACGCGTTGTCTCATTCAGTGTGTTGTCTGAGTCGGCATAGAGTTGTCTCAGTCGGCATAGAGTTGTCTGAGTCGGCATAGAGTTGTCTGAGTCGGCATAGAGTTGTCTGAGTCGGCATAGAGTTGTCTGAGTCGGCATAGAGTTGTCTGAGTCGGCATAGAGTTGTCTCAGTCGGCATAGAGTTGTCTCAGTCGGCATAGAGTTGTCTCAGTCGGCATAGAGTTGTCTGAGTCGGCATAGAGTTGTCTAGGACCAAACACTGGTAAAGATGGTAAAGATGGTAAATGATTGTCATCAGCATTTCTTGATTCTCAAAGTGATAAACTAAATTATGTCTCAATGGGAATCAATGTTCTATCTCCATGGTAAACTATATTCTACTTAATGATAAACTATAGCTCATCTTAATGATAAACTATATTCTACTTAACGATAAACTATAGCTCATCTTAATGGTAAACTATATTTTATCTTAATGATAAACTATAGCTCATCTTAATGGTAAACTATATTTTATCTTAATGATAAACTATAGCTCATCTTAATGGTAAACTATATTTTATCTTAATGATAAACTATAGCCCATCTTAATGGTAAACTATATTCTATCTTTATTCTTAATGGTAAACTATAGCCCATCTTAATGATAAACTATAGCCTTTCTTTTGGCTCGAAGCCTAACAAATTTTGACACTTTAGTGATATATCGAGCTATACGTCCATAAATAATGAAAACACATTTTCTCCACAATTCGAACAATCCTATTAAATCGCAAACATTTTTAAACAACAAACCATCATTGTTTTAATGTATTGTGTCTGCTAAAAGCCTTCCTCGGCAAAAAATATAATAATTAAAAAAAAAATTTTTTTTTAAATATAAAAAAATGGACAAGTAGGCTCTACATTTGATGAAGACACAAAGTAACACCAAGGGACATAAACCTTTTCTTAAAAAAGTAAAGAAGCGATACACCAATTTATTTCGTTTTGACGTGTCACATTAAAAATAATAAAATCTTTCATGCATAGTTTCATTTTTTTGACGACAAAATGTCTCAAAATGGCCACACTTCGAAGCTGCGAGCGGAATAATAGTAAAAAGCTTGGTGATCTCAAGAAGTCAATGGCCTTACTCTCCAACACCCCCACCCACTTTCTTAAAAGAAAAACAAAAATGTCAACAAATGCGTACTTTAAAAAAAGAAACCTATTCCCAGCTTCAATTTCGTTCATGACCAGTGGCGTAGCGAGGCAGGTGCGTGGGGTGCGGCCCGCACCGGGTGACACCAACCCTAGCTACGCCACTGTTCATGACCAAATTGTTTCAATTATTTTATCATTATAGACCACACTTCTTTAAACGTTGGAGAACATTCGAAGACAGGAAGGTGGGTGTTGCATTGACATCAGCTACTGACATCATTTTTGAGCAAACTCGTGAGTAGTATTCATAACTAATCATGGTCTTCGTTGACTTTGGGAAAGCTTTCAACAAACTACGCTGGGGCTGCTTTTGTAAGATCGGTATCTCCGATAAAATGACCATTAATAATAAAATTGCTCTTGATAAATTTGAATATAGAGATCTTAACAATAGCCAAAATGAGCGAATTTGCAAATGAGTTAACACCAGAAGGCGCTAGCTATGGGTAATAATTAAAGGACTGCGTTCAAGTTAAGTAAATGAAATAGCTATGGGTAAATTGGCTATGCAGCAGCGTTTCACATTTTTGTTTTCCATGGCTGATACTTGTTTTTTTGTATGCTTATGCTTCGTGGCCTATTAAAATCGTATATCAGTAGAATATATGACCCGATATACCTGGATAATAATGGAAGACATATTGCACTAGTCTCCCCCTTTTCTTGCAAAGTCTCAACATCTAAATATTCAATTTTTTTTTTTTTTACTAATGTAACGGAATCGGGTTTTGTTGTGCTGTAGTAAAATATCAATAACAACAACAAAGTCAACGCATTTGAACAGGAAGATTTAGGAAATAATAAAATTAGACTCTTTTTATTTGGAAAGACAGAGCTATATATAGATATGTACTTTTCTCACATCATTTGGTTTTGTGAATTTTTCCTTCTATATCATTAGGCCAAACCAACCCATTTACATATAATTATAACTATTTATTGTATTTAAATTGATTCGCTTTGTATAAAATAAAACATAAATGTGTATAATTATTTGTAAGAAATCCCTTTGGCGCAGACATTTTAGTTTTCGCGGCTCTTGAACACACATTTACGCGCTGCTGGTCGCACTTATAGGGAATTTTTTCTATTGTGTGCTATTGAAAACGTTACATGGTCGGCCTAGCTCAGTGGTCGGCAAACTCATTAGTCAAAAGAGCCCAAAATCAACAGCAGGACGATTAAACAAAATTTGAGAGCCAAATTTCTTTTCAAGAACTTTTCTAGATCCATGTTTTTCGGAGTCAAACCGATTTGTGACAGACTGGTCCAGCCACGATTTGCCGACCACTAATAAATGTCAATACTCTTTGGGTCGAGATTTATTCTCTTATGACCCTGGCCATGATTTCTGCGGCTCGCCTCATCTGCTGGGCGTCACCGTAAAGATAATCATGAAGGCAGGCTTCAAGGTCCCTCCCGTCAGCCCCCATCCCACTACACGGACACGTGATCACAAAGTGAGCCACCGTCTCCTCGGCTTGACCGCAAAGACGGCAGCTTGGTTCACTTCTGTTGTCCAATCTGTGGAGATAGCTGCGTGTCGCGCAGTGTCCCGTCCTCATCAGTGTGATAAGGCTCTGTTCTCCTCTTTTAAGTTCCCACCAGGGGTCGCTCTTGCTTGGCCGTTGCATTTTCCGTTGCAGCTGTCGCCCAGTAGCCCCGGTGTCCGAACATCTGTGCCATTGGTTCCTAAAATGGTCTTTTAACCAAGTGATGACTCCCAGCTGAGTCATAGGTTTGTCTGGTTGAGGTTGAGCCTCTTTGGCTAAGAAATCCGCCCTGTCATGAAGCGACGCCTCTGAGCGCGAAGCGATAAACTATAAGATTACCTTAGCGCCTTTTGCATGGATTCTGCCTCCTGTTTCCAGAATGGTAGTGACCATCGCGGTCTCCGTCGAGCCCACACCCACATGCTCGCAAGCTGAGCGTGATTCGGTGAAGACCACTACGTCCGGGAAATTTTTTCTCTTTGGTGGACCCTTTTCAGAGCAACCAGTATAGCCTCGATATAAGCATCAAGGCTCGTTCTATTTCCTCCGCTTGGGCCAGATAGCTCCTCAGGTGTGGCTATCTCTAAGGGATACTGGATAAGGACACCATAGCCACTGCGCTCCCCCCCCCCCCCCCCCCCCGCAAAACATGAGCCGTCTGTGAAGACTTTGACCAGGCTGTCCGGGTAAGCGTTAATAGTTTTCCGCACAGCCTCTGGTTGAGGACTGGCTTTGTTGGCTTCTGCGGTTGTCATGTCAAGTCGTATGTCTGGTCGGGTTAGGCTTTTGTGAGGGCCCCGTGCTGGGATCACCTTCACTTTTTCCATGTTTCCGGGTAAAATTACGTCTTCCTCGAGACTGTGCACCTTGTCCATGAAGGATGGTCTCTTCAATGTGGACTTTTTAACCCAATTGTTCTGAAGTTGGAAACAGGGCTCTTCTCTGTCCATTCTTCGGTATTGTTCAATCGTCGTTAGGACCGCCTTTTCCCGCCTGACTTCGAGCGGTTCAACGTTTGACAGGACTTCCACTGCCGATGTGGGTGTCGTGCGTATCGCCCCGCATACAAACCTGAGAGCGCGGTTTTGGATGCGATCCAGCTCTTCCAGAGCCGTGCGGCTCGCGAAGGTCTGAACGGGTAAGCTATAGTCCAAAGCCCCTCTCACGCAACTGAGGTAAAGTGATCTTAGTAGTCTTGCGTCAGCGCCTCAGTTCGTGCAAGCAAGCTTTTTCACCAGTTCTAATTTTTGTGAAGTTATAGTGTACAGTTCGCGTATATGGTTGTGAAGCTGAAGTTTTTGGTCCAACTTTACGCCCACACACACAGGTGTCATGTCCCATACCAATTCTTTTCCGTTAATGGAGAGCTTTGTTTCGACTTTAAGCGCCTTCCTTCCGTTTGTGAACTTGGAGTAAACCATCTTGTCCGTGCTAACGACCATTTTCCACTGTCTCGCACAGGCTTAGATTCTATGCAGGTCGTTTTGAGGCCGGTTCTGCAAGTGTTGGATGTCCTTTCCCGAGCTCCAAATTACTAGATCATCTGCGAACATCGCGTTCTCGGATACTAATTCCTCTTGCAAGTCATACACGTACTCTAGGAACAGGGTGCAGCTGAGGGCGGACCCTTGCGGGATTCCGTCCTCCAGAGCTAGCTGACCTGATAAACTACTGCTAACCCACGTGGCAATGGTCCTGTTCCGGAGGAAGTCCGTCACCCATGCGGACATGTTACCAGAAATCCCGAGCTTCTGGAACTTATACATGAGGCCCGTGCGCCATACCCGGTCGTACACTTCATTGAGGTCAAAGAAAACTGCAACCGTGTGATTTTTCTTTTGGAGCTCATTGGTCATTGATTTGACAAGACGGATCACCTGGTCCATGGGTTGGCGGCCCTTTCGGAACCCACCTTTCGTCGGTGGTAAGCACTTGCTTTTCTCCCGAAACCAGTAAAGTCGTCCATTTACCATTCGTTCAGCTATTTTCCCCACACATGACATTAGCGATATTGGACGATAGCTGCTTGGTAAATGACTTGGTTTGCCCTTTTTTGGTATCGGGACAACTATGGCTTGTTTCCACTTTTTCGGTAAAATTCCTGTAGTCCAGGTTCGGTTTATGAGAGCCAGCAATATCTCTCTCCCCTGTTTACCCAGGGGAGTTAACATTTCATTATGAACCTTAACAGGACCCGGTGCTTTCGCGTGCCTACACTTGCCTAGTGCGCTGTGCAATTCTTACATTGTTAGGGGGGGGGGTCGTGAAAATCTTGGGGTGGGGTCCAATACGTTGGATACGAGCTCCACTTTTCTTAAGACGCCGGATATTTCGATGCTCTTCCGTCTCTCCGGCTTTCTTGTTCACTTCGGCGAAGTGAGCACTGAGCGCCTGTGCTCTTTTTGCGTCGCTCGCCTCGACGCCTTTATCGTTCTGAATGGGTTGCGGGTTTTTCGATCTTCCCTGCGCCAGAAAGATTTCCAAGCAGATTCCACACCTTCCGGCCGTCCTGGAGGTCGAGCTTTTCACATGCACTGACCCATTTCGATTTTTTCGCTTTTTGGACAACGGCCCGGACTTCAGCCGTAAGTCGGTTGTAGCCTGCACGAGCAGCAGGTGTCTTCTTTCTCGCGGCCTGTTTCCGGGCTTTCGCTCTTCGTTTTACGAGTTCTTCTAGCTCCTTGTTGCAAAAGGGTTGTATTGTTTTTTCCCGTTCGACCTGGGGCTCGTCTTTCGAGCAATCTCCAGAATGGTGCCAGTAAACTTCTCCAAGGCGGCATCTAAGGGGCCGTCCATAAAGTACGTCACGCTCTAGAGGGGGGAGGGGAGGGGGTGTAAGAGAGTGTCACAGTTTTTGACAGGGGGAGGGGGGTCAGGCCATGTGTGACGTCATACATTTATTTTTAAAAATTTCATTTCTAATTTATTTCTTATTTTTTAATAGAATTTAAAAGCTTTAAAATAATTTTCACAAATTTTGTGAAACATTCGAATTAGCTTTATGTCAAAATAGCATGAAATGCCTATCTCCTGAATGTGTTGTTCACGATTCCTCTCGCAAGGAGCGCTAGTATGCTGTTGCGAAGCCTCGTTTTATATATAGCCTTACTTTCGTCATGCCTGAAGTATTATTATTTCTATGTTGTCCGCTGCTTAATTATGTCACTGTCCTTTTTAATATTTAATCACTGGGTGAGGAAAAGTTTCGCTAATCTACGTCTAATCCTGTGTAAAAAGTTTGCCTAATTGGAAGATTATCTAAAACTTGACCTCACCTATTTTAAATGAAAAAGCAGCAGATAAATGATGTGTATTATATAATTGTCTCGTCTAATTTTTGCAATTTTTGTTTTCAAATTCAATCTAGATTGAGTTACTGCTTCAATGAATAACTTTGACAACTGTTGACAATTAACTATTCTATTAAAGTCATTTTAATAATGTGATGGTTCTTTTAAGAGGAAATTTTATTTATATTTTAATACAGTTTAATAGTGAAGTGTGTTTTAGATTAAATTTTAATTAGGTGTTAATTGTAAAAAAAATTTTTTCGAAACTGTGACGTTCTTTTGGGGGGGGGGGGGGTCCAAGATTTGTGACAGTTTGTGACAGGGGGGGGGGTGAAAAATTGTCAAAACATAATTTATACTTCTAGTCTAATCTTAGCATTGTAACTTAAAAATTGTCAAAAATAGCGTGACGTACTTTATAGACGGCGCCTAAGTCTAAGTCGGCCAATTCGACTTCTAGTAGTCCGAGCTTGGTCTCGCACTGACTTACAAAATCATTCCACTTGGCTTTTCGGAAAAGCCAGTGGCGTTTTTCACACCTGGTTTTGGTCTGCCCCATGTCAATCTCAAGCAGTATAAGAAGATGGTCACTCTCAATTTCTGCCAGGACTTCCAGACTCTGATTGGCCGCGAGATCTGTGGATATGAGCGTCAGGTCTGGCCGGGACTCCGTGCCGTGTCCGGTGTGAAGTAGAGTGGGCGCACTCTTTTCGTCCTGCAGCCTGATGAGATTTGTCTCGAGGCAGACCTCCTCCACGTGCTTTCCAGACGCGTTCCTTTCTGGATATCCCCAGATGGGGGACTGAGCATTGAAATCTCCCGCAATTATCGTTCGTCTAAAGACCGTCTCCCCTCTGGTAAGGATCGTGATCTTATTGCTGGGAGTGTTATAAACGTTCGACACGGCGAAAGTTTTGCCACATTTAGTTCTTACGAACTTTTACAAATAAGTATTTTTAAAGGAAATTTTTACGGCCTGCTCATACATTTACGGCATTTTACGGACAGTTCGTAATCATGCCCTCGTAATTGAGGTTTCCGATGATTTCCCCCGGTTTTTGCTACCTCTCGGTGATCCTTTCTGTAGCACACTCATATTATTAAAATTAAAACTAAAAATAAAAGAAAATAATCTTAGTTCCTTCTAATTCTAAATTAGATTAATAAGACACGAACAAATTGTGTCAATATAACAATATAAGTTACGCTTTAATAATAATTATACATTATACACAAGTAAACGTTTCGGCACATGCTTTCATCAGTACAAACAAATAAAACACATTTAAATAAGTATAAATTAAATTTACATAATATAAATATAAATATCTTACCTAAAACAGAAAAAAAAAATAGGAGAGGGCGCTAAAACCAGACAAAAACAAAGTAAAGAGAAGTAGAAAGTAAGTGATTTTAACATAATTGTAAAAACCAAACAAGCCTTCAAACCCCTAGTGCAGGATTTCCTCATCAACACCAGTAACAGAAACATTGCAAATCCCATCTACATGCATAGGTGCCAAAATGATCAATAAATTGATCGTGGGCCCTTACGATATAGAAGAAGAAGAAACAGGAAAAAGACATGGCAGCTAGGTAAAATTGTGGATTTGGTTAATTCCATATGGAGACAACGTACCAAATCTGGTTATTAATTTATTCTCCATATAGGTTCTATCTGTAGTGTTACTAGTATAGAGTATACCAGTCATTGCGTTGTCTGAGATTCCATCATAGTTAGGGCTATGGAAATGTTCGGAGACCGGACCATCTACATGCATAGGGGCCCAAATGATAATAATAATTGATCGTGGGCCCTTAATTAAGATATAGAAGAAGAAGAGCGTGCTTATTTATGTTATAGAGGTGCTCTCTGAACCGGTCCCCAAGGCGACGACCTGTCTCTCCTATGTATAATTTACCGCACTTTTTGCAAATGATGGTGTAAATCACGTTGCGACTTGTTCAGGTAAAGCCATCTTTTATTCTGAATGCTTCCAGAGGGAAAGTGATCTTATCAGTTTCGATCACGTAGGGACATGAGCTACAACGGCTACGGTTGCAACTTTTTGTGCCTTTATGTGCTTTAATAGTAGGGAGGTGGCTTCTTACTAGCATGTCCCTAAGGCTCTTGTCCCTCCGGAAAGCGAAAAGAGGAGGTTTTCTGAAAATCTCATTTGTGACAGGGTCTGCCATCAGAATTGAGCGGTTTTTTCAGAACCAGAGAGCGAGCTTTTAGGTTGTGGAGATGAAAAGTTAAAATAAATTTCTAATTCTAACCATGGCTATGGCCCTCTTGAGAACCCCATAGGCCTTGTCATAACCAAGGATTCACTCAATTTGATCAGATTAATACTATGTTGTTCCAAATGGTGAAATGTTAAAATGATTTTGTTAAATTAAGATAAGTTTATTTATAATTTGGTATGGAAGTCACATTTTTAACACAAATAAAAGGGCTTATATAAATTTTATTTGTATAATTTTATATACAGGGTGGGCCAATAAAAGTGAGAACATCTCGTAGCATATGAGTTATTTCAAAACTCAAATATTTAAATATTTACTCTGAGTCTATCTAATCTTCTAAAGATATTGAAAGAACATGCAGAAAATTTGCTGGACTATGTCTAAATTACAAAAACGTTAAGCAAAAAACATTAAAAGATGCATCATAGTAAAAAAAATAAAAAATAATTAAATCACATTTTACGAGATGTTCTCACTTTTATTGGCCCACCCTGTATATTTTAAAAAGTTTAGTCTAATGAATAATGATGAATTGCCAGTTAACAAACTAATTCTTCTAATCAGCTGTGAAGGCATGACGCACACTGTACCAGAAGTATTTTTATAATATATAATGAAACGTGGTTGAAATATTTTCTTTTGTTTATGACATGAGTGGTTCAAATAACCAAGAATTTACAATTTAATTTTAAATAAATTATCATGTGCTTTCTCGGATGATAGGCATATTGTCTTACATAATAAACAGACATCTCTTCCCCACACAAGAAATGTAACTTTAAGACTTCAGATTTATTTTTACTTATAATAATCAAAGCGTACGTATTTACTATTTATATTTACATCAAAGAAAAAATATTTTTATCGCTTTAAAAAGATAATAATACAATAATAAAAGGTTAACTTGTACATTTTATCATCTTTTTTTTTTAGACCTGGCTATAGCTGGCACCTGTCCCTTGAGCAGGACCAAAATGGCGACACTGGTGGAAGGACGGGAATATGGTCTAGCTTCAAATACTTTATCTGAAGAAAATAAATCAGTAGTTCATTTTAAATTGACAGATACAGCTTTGAAAACATTAGATAATTTTTCTAAAATAAAGGTGAGTAGTCTAAAATAATCATTTCATACTTTAAATAGTCAACATTTGGTGGTTCTATTTCGTGTTTTCATAATGGAGGAAAGAAAAGGCCCACTAACCACTAATACGCTGGGCTTAGCCCAATTATGGCTTAATAATAATGAGTTAATAACTAGCTAACTGAATGTATAAGAGTGGGTATCGTAATATTAACTGATGACCCCATGATTTTCGCCAGTGTTTCTTCTTTAATTTTTATTGTACTTAGTTGGGTATATTTAAAAATACCAGTGTCAGTGATGTCCTATATGGCCAATGGCTTTGATTACTTTGATGGAGCAGCTATTAATATATATCTATATGGTGGAAAACATAAACATATTGAATTTGAATTGTCATTTAGTTTTAGGCCTAGAGCATAGGCCTATTACTGAGTTGATGGGGGGTGAAGTCAGCTGTTGGGTTTATTAAGTTATTGACTTTCCTTTCTAATTCAGCCATGTCATCATAATTAGAAAATTTGGTTAAAATGCAGTTAGTGGCCAGGCCATAAATGTCTTCCACAGTATAGGCCTATACGTCATGGATGTTCCCCAGGTGAACTAGCGACCATAGTTCCGTTTCTCAATATTTAGAAATTTTACTGTATTTATTTGTTTTTTCTCTCATTTATTAATTTTTGTCTTAAAAGAGGGGGGGGGGGGACGGACACACTTCCTTAGAAATTATTTTGTTTCTTATTTTTTTTATTGAATTTGTAGGGGGGTGGTTTTTTTCGTTTCTTAATTTTTAGAATTTTTACTGTATTTATTTGTTTTTTCTCTGATTTATTAATTTTTGTCTTAAAAGAGAGGGGGGGGGGGGACGGACACACCTCCTTAGAAATTATTTTGTTTCTTATATTTTTTATTGAATTTGGAGGGAGGTGGTTTCCCCTCCTCAGAAAATTATGTTGAAATGTCCCGTTAAATTGCGATACAAAAATTATATAAATGTGTGGCGTGGCATGCGGATATTTAATTTTAAAACATAATAAACAGCACTTTTTATCTGGTGTTCACCTTGTGGGGTATCAGCAAGGATGATTCTCTCTTCCTATTTCCTTTTGAAACGGAAACTTATAAGTTGAATTTTAACAAGAACAGAAAAAAAAGTTATCGTTCTCATAGTTTAGGCCCAGCTGTTGGTCCTGTCACCCTAAGTTCAGGGTTGTGATTTCCCAAAGTGACCTCACTGCCCTTAGGGTGAGACAACTCTTGGCAAAACCGATGCTGTTAACTGCACATTTACCGAAAATGCAATTCATTAAATAAATTAGAAGTCCCATTATTTTGAAATGCATTGTTTCTTTTATAAGGGATGTGAGACTTATTAAAAGTAGAAAAACAGTTAAGGTGTGAGATTGGTCAAACAATTAGGATGTGAAGTGTATAAAAGGTGGGGAAACACTAGTGGGTCCAACTAACTACTATAACAGTGCTGCATAAGCCAAGGTAGGACAGGCCTATTTCTAATTTATATATAGGCCTAGATTTGATAGATTTGGCCAAAAAAATGTATTAGAGTTAGAGCTATGCTTATGCTTTTCCTAGTGCTACCATATGTTAATGAATTAACTTATGTTTTCAGCCAAAGTTAATTGTAAAATTTAAAAAAAGGGTGATAAAAGCCTAAAATAAATGTTGCTTAAACTGTACTTGCCTAGATCTAGACCGACTTAAGTAAAACAATTAGTCCTTAGTTAAATTTATTAAGCCTAGCCTAGTTAAAGGTTAATCTGATTATGGGTTACATTTTTTTACTACCAGTTAATCTTGTGTTGTTTTTTTTTGAAGTATGTCAATGTAAACAATTTTGAAAGTGTCCCTGGCGCTTTTACGTCTACTCTAGTCTGTTCAACTTAACAATTCTATAACTGAGAATGTCCCTGGATGAATTTGAACCCTTCTTTTATCAATATAAATTTCCAGCTTCCTCTTCCATCTTGATACAATGATGTCATGTGATCTCAGCTACATTAATTTAAAGTCATCAATACCTGGGGGCTCTACTAGAACTAGGTTATTTCTCCATAAACTAAACATTCATCAATTTTATTATAAAAAAAATCTATGTAAATAATACACATTTGAATGTAAAAGCCCTCTACGACTCACTTATTCATTCAGCATCAGTTTAACCATTTTTCAAAACTTTATAAATATGAAAATGTGCAATAACTTTGAATAAGAATTCAAAGAAATAGTTTGAATGATGGAATACATCTGGATAATTGGATTGGAAAAGGGCAAAACTTTTATTTATGTGAATTATAAATTAGAAACATTTTCAATTATTTTATGTTGCATAATCAGCCTGGACATGGTTGATTTAAATTTCTGTATAATTTGTTGCTTTGGTCCATGCAAAGAAAGGAATAAAAAAAATTTGTGCACTTTTCTAATAAAGGTTCTAAAATAGTATTTTTTAAATCAAATTTCTTTTTAAAAAAGACACTTATTTTCATAGTAAGTGAACATTTATTGCAGGGTTTTACAGCCTGGGGTGGTGGGGATAAGAAAAACCCTAGGGGTAAAGAGTCATTTCAAGGGATTTGAGGAAAAACGATTTTAAGTACAAAAGAGACATTACAGACCTGCCAACCCTTCCGATTTTGTAGGAATTATACAGATTTTTTACCCTGCATTCGTCAGTCAGAAAAACTCCTTTAAATTCAGATTTTCCGAACATTATAATTTTTCGCCCATCATAAAAATCCGAAAGCGACAAAAAAAATATTAATAAATTGGATATGACTAGAAGTGTTGCATTTTGATGATGACACTTTCTTTGTTTTTATGAATAAGTTCTCGAGATATTCGTCCGGCTATTACTATTATGTTATATATTTGACCTAGTCACATGACAGTTGTATCAAAGTTGTGGAGTATTACGCACAAGATATTTGTCTGGCAGCCTTGTCACTTGACCGCTAATAGTCGATCAGAGTTTACGGTATTTCATTTCAACAAATTCAAGTTAGTCTGGACATTGACATGAAATAGGAATATGTTCAATTCTACAAAAGAAATACTAGAACCATTGCTGGTATATATAATGAACAAATGGTTAAAAGGGGACAATGTTAAATAAAGCGTGACATGCCCGTTGGCTGAATATCCCACACACTATTTGTCCATCGCTAGATGTGTGGACACTGCCTTGTTTTTATCAAAGCAAATCCCCCTAATCTATAAATCATTCTTCAATCATCAATTGATTTGATCTTGATTCATACTTGTACTTGGCTAAAAAATAATTCAGTTGTGTTGTGACTTTTTTATGTTAAAGCTTTTCTTCTTCTTCTACATATTAAGGGCCCACAATCAATTTATTGATAATTTTGGCTCCTATGCATGTAGAGGGGATTTGTAATGTTTCTGTGCCGGGTGTTGATGAGGACATTTGACTGATTTCCAGTGCCACTTTGTGAGGAAATTATGCGCTGGGGGTTTGAAGGCCAGAGGCAATAGACACAAATGAGTCTAGTGTTGTCGCCTCAACTGTTCCTTTTGAAAGCTTGTTCCAGTCCCTGATTGTCTTGGGCAGGAATGAGCAGCTCCTTTACTGGCTTCTTGCTGGTATGAGCCTGAATTGCCTGTCATGGCCTCGTCACTGTCTATGGGGGAGAGGGACGAGTTTCTGTTTAATTATTTATCTTATATATAATGGAGAGCCTGGATTGTCCTTGTCGTTCCTCCAATGGTGACAAGCCTAGTGGTTCCAGCATGCTGCCAACACTAGAGGTATTCCTAAAGCGGTTCAAAATTGATTGAAAGTGGTGGGTACAATGATATTAATAAAAAAATTTTTACACAAACAAAACAACTATTGCAGCTAAGCAGGTGAATCTACATCTGTCTCTAATTTCTTCGCTAAGGAATCGGATGATTCAGTTATCAGATTGGAAGTTTTATTTACCACCTTTCTTATTGAAGGAAATATTTCTTTAGCCAACTCCGATCTTTTTTAGTTCTAGAGTCAAGGAAATGTTTCCAGGCTCGCAGATTGCTAGAAGATTGTGAGAAAAATTACAATGAAACAAGGGCACTAGAAGATTGTGAGAAAAATTACAATGAAACAAGGGCAAAGATGAAAGTTTTTTTTCTTGGCAGGTTGGGAGGTCTGCATTATTTTAAGTTATGATATGATAAAAAAAAATGTTCCTTTGTGTCTAAGTCACAAGTTTATTATCTTAGTTCTTTTTTTGCAGTTGAATAAATAAATTAGAACTCCATTATTTGCAAAATTCAAAATGAATTGTTACTTTTGTGGGGGGAGACTTAGCAACACAATTTGTTTGGAGTGCAGGACTTGTCAAATCATTTATAGGGGCGCAGTGTAAAGAAAAGTTTGGGAAACAATTTTTTAGCTTTGTTTTGACTATTATAAAGCTGTCTATTCTGTGTTTTGTTAACTTGGTTTGATTTTTTAAAATTTGGGGTTGGGTCAAGGAGATATTTTTTATTGTTAATTTCTCCCACAGTAAATTACGTCTACAGAAGACCGATAAACCAAAACTGTTATATTTTTACAATATTATCTCAAAAACGTATAAACAAGTCATAGCTGAACAAAGTTTTTTGGGGCTTTGTTTTAAGCTCTTTCATTTTTAACAAAATTTCTAGAAATAAATTTTGATACACAACTTAGTAAGTTTATTCTATCAAAACATGATGGTTCCTCATTTGTCACAGTCTAGTCTATTAAAATTTAAATCACCTTGTCACTGTTTTTAAATTAATAAGTTTTGTTATTGTTTTTCAGAGCAAATTTGTGAGGTCATCATATAGGGAAAAAGAGTCAATTATTTCTTATTATATCTCATATGCTGCTTTTTGTCATGGAATTAGTCTTCCATTTAACTTTATTTTCTTTTCTTCTTTACAGAGTGGAAAAGCAACAATACAATTTCACGGAAATACTGGGGTAAGATTTGTGAACAATATTCTTGTCATTTCACGAATGTGGTTTCAAAGAAAGCAGTAAAAGGAAAATACAAAGAAATCGTGTTTGATTTTTGTATTCTGTTTTCAGAGATAACTAGTTTCACTAAACTTTAAAAAATGAAATGACAGTTGCAAAATATTAATCCTTCACCTTATAATTCACAGATAATTAAAATCCCTAGCCATGGAAATCAGCCAGAGCGAATATTCCAGATATCCATATCAGCATTACCAGGAGATCTTAATGGTAGTTTTGACTGTATTCAACAAACTTCAAAGTAAGTGCTAATATTTTGAAAATGGCCATGTTTTGTGATCTAGATAGCAGAATAAACATTTTTTTTTTTTTTAACAAGCTATCAATTACACTTGATGATTTTATTATTGATCTTCAATTGATGCTTAATCAAGTAATGGCTTTATCAATGGTTTCTCAGGCGAGAAAGCTGCAGTTAAATGTTTAATGCAATGAATTTTTTAAAAGAATTTCTTTAAATTCTGGGGTAATTCATTGAGTAATAAAATGTTTTGTTTTATTAAATGATTTATTTGCTTTGAAAATATGTTCCCCCTTTACACCATGAATAAGTTTTTGTCCAAGCTCTTAACTGGAATGATTTTAATATGCCTGAATGAACAATAAATGGGTTCAATTACAATTGTCACATGGGTAATTAAAAAATCATATTTACCTGTTGCAAAATTAAAAACCCTAATAAAATAACAGTAACAGTATTTCTCCCCCCCCCCAATGTCTGGAACTAAAGATAGATAACCTTAGAAAAAGCAGTGTATGTTCAGAAAATGCAGTTGTGTCCCTTTTTTAATTTTTACACATTTTACCCTACAATAACACTTATTTTATTTCTTCCCCCCCCCCCAATGTCTGGAACTAAAGATAGATAACCTTAGAAAAAGCAGTGTATGTTCAGAAAATGCAGTTGTGTCCCTTTTTTAATTTTTACACATTTTACCCTACAATAACACTTATTAACAGCTTTTAGTTTGTAGAGAACTATGAGTTTTGATTACTCAAATTTTGAAACAAAATTTTGGACAAGAATATTTTGCTAAATCAAGTTATTTCACTGATAATGAATGATAGGGGTAGACTTCAATAAGGTTTAGCCAATGAAATGATTTACATGTTGGCAAAAAGCTTTCTTCATCAAACAAAAACAAGTGAAAATAAAAAAAATTATAAAGAACATATCAAATGCTATGTGGTGTTTGAGATAAAACTGAAAGGATCATATCAGTGCATATTTAAGAAGTAACCAGTTGAAACTATATTATTTCAGTAATTTGTCAAGTCTTGGTACTATGCAACATAGGGTAACTGTGCTTGCTACTGATGATGTGTATGACCGCACTCGTGCCAAAATGACAATGGCAGAAGAAGAGAGTAAAAAAGTGTGGTAAGTTTGATTTTGTATTCTTGGACATAGGATTAAATTGTATGTGACTTCAATAGCATATTTTTTAATGCTAACTGTAAATGTAATTAATTAATGTTCATTAAATGTATTTATTTAACAGCACCAAGGAGATTAAACCTAGTGGTCGTCATATTAGCAAAAGAGTCAAAAAGGTGTTGCTTCCTGGAAGTCTTAGAATTCCCCCGCCGGTATCTAAACCGAGCACTTTAGCCTCTGTAGCCAAACCAACGACCTCCATCAGTGGAACCAGCCGTCATGCTTTTGGACCTTCTTCATCATCATCATCATCATCGTTGCCACTGTCCAGTTCAACAGCAAGTCCAAATGTACCTGCTTCTAGTCATTCGTCATCAGTTATTGTGCAGAGCAGACAATCTCCCACACCTAGCTCCAATAATTCTGTCTCTAAACCTTCAAGTAGTAATCAGTCACGTGTTTTGACCTCTTCAACCACAAAGCAATCTTCTGGTGCCATTAACATGCCTTACAGGTGAGCATATTATGGTGATAGAACAACATTAAATGATGTTTTGTCATTGGCATATACATACCTTTGAGCAAATAGCAATTTAATTTTTAGCACCAATTATACATTTTCATGTAGACATGGCTTGTATGGATGAAATTCCTGTGTTACATAGCTTGATGGAATCAACCATTTTAAAAAATATTCGGCTGAATATGCAGTGATACAAGTAAAGAATTAATATTGACCTTTACCTGATCTATTTTCTCTTTTCGCCTGCTTATAACCAATAATGTCTAAATAATTTATACATTGCAGGGACCGTATTATACATTTACTAGCACTCAAGCCATACAAAAAACCAGAACTTATTTTGAGGCTTCAAAAAGGTATTTCTCTTCACTTCCATAAGCAAGAAATAATTATATCGGGCCTGTTGGAATTTTGTGTACAATTTACGATTTTTAGGTGTCTTTTAGGATCGTTACAACTTCACCGCTCTGAAAATATATACATTCCAGTAGAATTTTGTATTAAAAAAAATTAAAATTAAAAAGTACTTTTGTGATTGTTGGTTTTAACCTACTTTAATCAACCAGCAGTGAATGGATCTAGAAATACGATTGGTTGGGGACCAACTATAATTATATTACATTTGTCCTGAGAGGGGAAGGTGGTTGTGTTGATTTAGGAGATTTTGGGTACGTGTGTGTATGGGGGCGGGGTCTAAATATTTAAATCAATAAAATTAACATCACCACATTTTTGTAAGGATAGTGATGGTCATATTGTTGCTTTGTGTGTTTTCATAAATAACTTGATAGACACGGCAACACTCATGTTAGAGTTAGTGACAATTTTAGTCAATCCTCACTTTTTTTCTTCTGTGTTACATGATTTTATTTTGTGGCATATAATTATTTAGTTCGGCGAAGCACAGTGAGTGTAGAAACACATTCTTAACTGTTGCGCACAACAACATTGGAGTTCGACAAATTTTATAGGGTTTGAGAGGGCCGTTTAAATCTATTTTTAGAAGGCACAAAACAGCTGTTTGATTTGCCCCGTTTTGGTTCCAACACTCCTGTTCCTTTCACTCATTTATAGCTTGTGATAGTTAATAATTGAAGGACTGCATTCATGGTATCTGAATTTACATTTCAACAGAGAGCATCGTAAAGGTGTATTAGATGTATCCATTACGGCACTAATTTCCTGTAGAGAGTTTAAGTGGAAAACAAAATTAGTCAGCTTTACGGCACCATATCTCCATATGGTATTTATCAAATACTCTCCCACTAATGTTTGATTGAAGCTTCAACATACTTTTTACTATTTCATTGTGATAGTTATCAGAGTATAAAATAGTAGCGGGAAATAGGCTTACTGGATATTGATTCCAATTTTTTTTTAAAACCCAGATTTTCCTAGATTATAAATATCAAGTTACTTGGTATGTTTTTTAAATGATGTCAAAGTTGTTACTTAATTCTTATTTTAATAAATTTTATTTTATCCTGATCTGACATTAGTTTGAGCCACGTTAAATTTCGTCAGTAACTTTATTTTTACCAGTGATGGTGTGTCAAAATGTAATCTGCATTTTCACTGAATATAAATTAATATCCAAAGCAAAGGCAGGTCTGCAAAACAAAGTGACAACAAATTTTAATATAAACGTCGGTTGTCTACTTTTAGAATTTACCTTTTTTTGATGTCATCTTAACTCAATCCCACTAGAAACACAATGAGAGTAGTTATTGTATACATTGTAAATACTGTAGGTTTATTTATTTACTATTAAGATGTATTTTAGGAGTTTGAGATGAATTTATTTGAATTTAGGAGTTCGAGGGTAAACTGGTGTGATATTTTAAAAAAAATTAGATGTATGATTTAAAAAATATGTTTGATCAAAATAGAATTGCAGTATGAAGTCATTATATTCCTGAATTTTAAAATAAATTTTAAGAAGACTAAGAAGAGAAACTTTTCTAACTTTCTTGCTTATAGTAATTTAAGTTTAATTTTGTATAAGACCCTCATTATTTCTTGTTTATTTATAGGTAAGCAGCTATATACTATAATACATATATGACTATGATACTGTAGCATGACTTTTATGGTTACCTTTTTCCCAAGATGGCATTCGAGAAAAAGACAAGAACTCCCTGGGCACGGTACTTCAACAGGTAGCCACCCTTAATAGAGACAACAGCTATACATTAGCCAGAGGTGCATGGGCTGATGTTAGACTTGAATGGCCATTTTATTCAGAGCCAGATAAGATATTACTCAAAAAGTAAGTAGATAAACAATAAAGTGGTGGATGGCTTTTTGAAAAAGAATTATTTATTCAACCGCAACTATTTGTATCATTACTGATTTCATACTTATTATAAAGAGTATATTTTTCTTCATTAAAACCCCAATAAATTTTCTTATTTTATATTTTACAAATGTTAATACGACTGTTTTTTTTCTTCTTAAAACTATATTGCTAGTTGAAATTTATTGTCTGTACATGGATAGTTTTAAAAAGAAATGGGTTTAAATTAACTGATAGTAAATGGCATCCAGCAGAATTTAAAATCAAACATTGTTTAAAAATAAGCTGTCAATAATATTACAAATGCACAGCTAAGCTTGGAAACAGGCATATGGCAAAAGTTGTACCAAAGTACAGATATTAATTTATAAAATAAGAGTCAGGAGACATAGTTGATAATATTTAATCTTGACTATTATCTGATAATTAGTTTTTACAAGCAGTGAAGACACCAATGTTTGTGATACTGGTATAGCATCTTAACCTTTTTCTTCTCCCTTACAAATACTAAAAGTGTATATTAAAGTTAAACTTTACCCACGGAAAAGATAACCCTTATTTCAGTGCTGTCCAACCAGTGGGCAGCATTAAATGGCCCCACCACAACTTGAGAAATTCTTATGATAGGTGTAAAAAAAACCACAACATTTTAAGGTGAAAATATTTTCAAACCACATGCGTTGGTTCAGTTTTATTGGGAAATCGCATGAGCAAGTAGGTTGTAACATGGACAAGAGGGAGGTCACATAAACTAAGGAGCTGAAGGGCTTGACAGGAAGCAGTAATGTTAAGCACATCTGCAAAGCAACCATTTGGGAAGCACAGTGACATAAAATGGGATACTATCTTCTCCTTCTTTCTCTTGCTTGTACAGGGGAGGCGTCGCATGGTATAATTACTAACAGCATTTGAAAGATAAAAAGAGAATTGAAAAGTAACTTGTGTGTAGCTATTTGGTCATTAGAATAAACAATATATAATTTTTAAGAGAAATACTTATTAGTTGGAATATATCAGAATATACAATACTCTTTCAAAGTATATATTATAAGCATTGTTTCATATAATTTTGCTGCTTTGGAAGAAAAGAGAATGTGGCGATTTTATCTTCTATTTTATTTATTATTAGCATTATGAGATGATAGAATATTGAGTTTGAAAATGTCAATGTGCGGATTTATTTTTTTTGTTAGAAACCTACAGCTAGAGAGTAGAACTGCACCCACATCCCCAGCTGTTTCTCCTGCTAGTAATCCTGAAAGTCCAGGAAACTCACAGGTATGCTATATCTTGTTATAGTAAGTTCTTTCAGAATATCAACTGCTTTGAAAACATACAACATTTTTAAAGGATAATTTTTGTGATCGCATGAGCAGATATCCTACATTTTAAAGTAAAAATTTTTGCATGTTTAAAATAAATACATTTTTTTAAATTTTAAAAAAACATTTTAAATATTTGCAATAAATCTTTACATAATGCTAAGAAACGGAAATTGGAAGAGGCCGAAGATGTTGCTGCCAATCCCAATCAGAAAAAAAGAATAGCACATGCTGACCGGCGGCAGGCCGAAGAAAGACCTGTCAGTGTGGTTAAACCCACACTTAATCAGCAAACTTCACCTTCGGCAAACAGGGAGAATTTTGAGGGTAAGCATAGGGTTTCTGTGATACTTCAGCTCTTCTACCTTATTAATTGATGTAACATCTGTAGCTATGTGCATTTCGTACTTAGACATGGCATACAAATATGCAACTGTGTATTTACAGAGTTCCTTTAATCATTTTAGGTAACTTTGAAGCAATTTAAAGCACTTCTAATAAATAAATTGACTACCAGATTTGAGCTAAGTTTTTTTTTTTAATGAGGAAAATGCCTTTCTGTGAATCACTGACCCATGTGTACTGGCAGTAAGTGCTTATAATTTAACTTTAACAAATAGTTAACAATATATACCAATGACACTGGTGTAGGAAGTGGGGGGGGGGGGCAGTGTAGGTGGTTGGTCTGACCCAGGCTGCACATTTTTGGCCAACGTCAGGTTTTTTAAGGGGGAAGGGGGGCATTCCCACCCCTAGCTCAGGGGTCGGCTAATTCGCATGTAGCTCTTTAGCGACCTGAGTGCGGCTAATATATACCAATGACACTGGTGTAGGAAGTGGGGGGGGGGGCAGTGTAGGTGGTTGGTCTGACCCAGGCTGCACATTTTTGGCCAACGTCAGGTTTTTTAAGGGGGGAGGGGGGCATTACCAGCCCTAGCTCAGTGGTCGGCTAATTCGCATGTAGCTCTTTAGCGACCTGAGTGCGGCTCCTGCAAGTCGCCCACTAATTAGTTTTTACTCCGTAAACAGGTTCTTGAAAAGAAATTTGGCTCTCTAAAAAACTTTAATCATCCTGCTGCTGATTTTTGACTATTTTGACTTAATGAGTTTGCCGTCCACTGGCCTAGCTGCACCACTGATATATGATGAATGAATAAGACCTCATATTTAAATTAAATTGTTTTAGCCAACCAGCTAATTAAGTAGTGCAGCAAAAACTAATGTAAATTGTCTCTATGTAATGTAAGTTGTCTCTATGGAGTGTAGTTAAATGAGTGAGATGATGTTCTTGCTTTAAATCAATTTTCTTAAAGTCCAACTGTTAATTAAATGTATATATTTAATGTTTTTAAATGTTACGGTGAGAATGTCTATGTTGAAACGTTTGCCACAAAATTTATTAAAATTCAAGGGTGTGAACACAATTTGAGACACTTTGGCTAGATGATGGTTTTAAGGTAATCTGCATGTCGGTATTCTTTCAGCTCATCATAATTGAAATGGAATTATTAGTTTTAGGTGCCTTTTGTTATGGAGTAAAATCTCATAAAATAATTAAAAAAAAAAATGCTATTTAACAATCTGCTTTTTTTCTACAGGTAACACAGATGAAAATAACTCGGATAAACCAGATTATATAAGGTAAGTTGTTAAAAAGACTCAATGTTTTAGTGGTGTGATGCTAAAAAATAATTAGGTATTTAATGTATTTTGTCTAGATGACGTAAGACATTTTTAAATGGACTTGATGACAAAATAAGTAAATACTTACATAAAGCAACATTTTCATGTCAGGCATGTTAACATAAGTTTCTTTGAAAGTGAAATGGATAAGTTGATAATAATTTTCTTTTGTTCATTTCCAGTAAATTTATTCACATAGAAGACAGCGAACAGCGTCAACAATATAAGCAAGAGTTCAATAGAGAATATGCAGAATACAGAGAGCTACATAAGGAGGTTGACATGGTGGCTTGCAAATTCCAAAACCTGAGGTCTCAGATCAATCAAACCGAAGAGGGCACACCTGATTTTGAAGTAAATAATATTTCCATTTAATTGTAGGCATAATTAATAACTGTAGTTTTTTTGCATCCATCCATCTCCTAGAGATGATTTAATTTCACACCAGCCTTTGATGTAAGCAATTAGCACCTCATTGGCATACTTCTAACCAACAGGTCTTTCAGTGATCGTGAACAGAGGCTAATTTAATTTCTCAGTTCAGCCAAAAGCTTCAAATCTTTTGCAATCAAGAGCAATGGTTGTGTTTCTTCTACCAGTTATTGTAATAATAACGATACCCATAACTATAACTGTGATTAATTAAGAAATGGTATGATTAAATTACCTACAATTTTTATTGATTAGATTTTCAAATTGAAATACGATAATTATTAATCATCTGCCAATTAATTTGCATTAGCTGATTTTGTGTGATCCTGACAGGCAAGATGCTTATATTAGATAAAATAAAGTTTGTTGCTTTTAATTTACACTTTTTCCATGCAACTTATATATATTTATACAGGCTTGCCGCCAAAATATTTAAGAAGAAAATAAAGTATTGTAAGTTGTGTAATAATAGTAAGTTGTATCACAGCCATCAGATGCTGTTCCATTTGGTCCGTTGTGGAGTTAAAAAAACATGAATTGCATATATTTGAAGCAGCAAAATTATTTCATAGTTGACTCAATGTGCTGCTAACAGTAATTCACTAAAATGTTACTCTGGCTGCATTCAATGTCATTCAAACTCAAGTCAGACATATCCATGTCAACATCCACATTATTCCAAGGCATCATTCAACTCAAATGCAATACATTTTTAAAGTTTATCCCATTTCTCATCTTTGGCCTCTGATTTACACAGGTTTTAAAGAAACAAGTATTGGAGGAATATGAAGCTCAGAAGTCAGATCCCAAATTTATGGCCAAAAAGCAGCGAATGGACTACCTTCATCAAAAGCTGGGCCACATAAAACGCCTTATCCATGATTATGATCAGCGGATACAGGCTTTGCCCTGTAGCTAACAAATGATGGAATTATTGGACTGGCCTGCTTCTCATGTCTCGATTACGGATTTACGCCATTGATACCAAAACTTCACATGCCTACAATTACCTTTAGAAAAAAAGCGCTGTATTGTCATGTTTTCCTGTGTGAGCTTAAGTAGAGAGGTGCTTCCATTTTATAACCCTACCCTCTTCCTTTTACACTATCTGAGACTTCCATTTCTTTTCTTTTTAAAAGATGCCTTAAGTTGATTGATTTGAATTATATTTCAGCTCCCACGTTGTCCGTTGAATGTTCACGTTGGCAGGGGATTAGGTACTGTTGTACCTTGTAAAGTCAAATCATTTCATTAAAAAACCCCCGAAACCCCCACACCCCCCCCCCCCCCCCCCGCGATCTGTGATAGGAAGTAAGGATTTTGTAGACTTGATTGTTTTGGCGGTAGTCTTTAGCTATTTATCCGTCAATGGTTCAGCAGTAAGTGCATAGACACTTCTCTTCATTTACAACAAAAAGGAATTAGTTTATTTATTTTCTAACTGCATTAAGTAGTATGAAATGAAGGAATTATTTAATCCCTGAAACAAAATTTATGAAAAAAATGGCTTCAAAAATGTAAGTTTTCTAATTGTTAAAGAACAACCTGCTCTACCTAATGAATCAACGTTGTTTTATAGAACTTATTTGTTTTTAGATTTTAATTTAATATCTCATATTCTTTAAAGAATTGAAAAAATAAATAAAAAGGTACATTTCATATTTAAATTTAAGGAAACCCAATTGTCAATCTGCTGAAGGTTTCAAGGTTTTATTTATTGAAATCTACAAACTGCTTTCAGGGATATACCCTCTTGAAGAAAAACAATTTTATTCCTTTTTTTAATCCAATACAAAGCATTAACTGTTGTACATTTTGTTGTTTCAGTATTGAGGCTGATGTCTAATTCCCTGCTGAACATCTTGTTACTTGTTGTTTTAAGATTATTTGTAAAATTCCCTGACAAGAATGATTTCCTTACTTGAATAGGAGAGAATGTTACTAAACATAACCCACTTGATATGAAATTGACGGTGGTTTGGCATCATTTATGAGAAATGGTCAAATTGTTTTCTTGGTGGTTTCCTAGGAAAGTACTTTAATACATTTAAAAAAACTAATTTATTGAACTTGTTTGAAACTATCTTAAGTTGTATTTGTTTGTACCTAAATGAAACATGTGGAAACTATTTGTTTAGTGTTCCTAAAGGCAACATGTGAATCTATAATTTAAGTTGTTTTTCTTTTTACCTAAATGAAACATGTGAAACTATTTGTTTAGTGTTCCTAAAGGCAACACGTGACTCTATTTTTAACTTGTTTTGTTTTTACCTAAAGGCAACATGTAGGCATGTGGATAAATGACACAATTACTTCCTTTCAAAACTCAAATCTCTTGATATAAATGAAGGATGTGAATTATTATTTTATTTGAGGGTACTGATCTTCACCTAGCCCTGAAAGTATGATTCCAAAAAGATCTGTCATTTCCTATGTTGTTAATTTAAAGCTGTTCATAACCTGTACCTAAAGTTCACATAAAATTTTTGTACAAAAAGTACAAAAAAAAAAATTGTGTCCTTAGAAAAAAACCCAATGACTCTGTGATAATGAAACAGTAATGACAAACAAAAAAAGGTGACCTCTTATTTGAATGAGAATTTTGTTTATGCCAAGTGCTGTATTGATGCTCAAATTTGTGCTTGACAAATATAATTCTTCTCCTACTCCTTGTGTACTCAAGAGTTGTGTATCATTTCTGCATCAATAATTTTGATTTTCTTTCTTTGACAATTTTAAGTATTTATAACATTCCTTACCAAATCTTCTTCAGATTTCATGTCATTTTGAACGTTTGTAACAAATGATGGAGGATAATTTAGATTGTAATCTTTATCATTGTTCTCTCAACTGCTGGACACATGTTTAGTTAGTGGATGTTAACCAGATCACTTAAAGAAATGATATGATTAGAATTATTAATTTTTTTTAGAGTAGTTAGCAGTTTTTTTGTTTTTTTTTGTATATTAAGATTTAAAAAAAAGTCTCTACCTTTCCATTTCAGCATTATTCTGTAGATTTTTTAACACTTTAAAAAAATAATATAAACCAACTTACCTAATAAATAGTATTAGAAGGTTTGTTAAAGCTAAATATTTTATTCACACGTTACATCCATGGAAATGCTACCTCCTAAATTCTGTTCTCTAATTCATATATTGTACTTACTTTTCAATTTAAAAAGTGGTTACCGGCCATTTTATGATCTTTTATAAACTGCTGAAAGTCACTTGATGTAGTAAAAGCTCTTAAGTACCTGATGCATACCAGAATGGTCATTTATTTAACATAAACACCATATAATTGGGATTAATGCTAAATGTTAATACTGTATATAGTAAATTCATAATTTTAATTGATTTCAAGGTGAAATATTTTAATGTAAAAATTTAAACTGCATGATTGTGATGCAGTCTAATAATTTATAACCACTGCACAAAGTCAGATTTAGTTTTTGCTTCTGTTTAATGATATAATTTAAACAAGGAAATAACTTGTAGTGATCTATTTGATCAACAGTGGATGACGACTGGAAAACTTGGTCAGGCTATTGTAATAATGGGGTCTTGAAATTACTCCAAAACGTAACTGAAAAAAAAAAAAAAGTCCTATTTATTTTAACATGCCATTAGCGAAATGGTCAACTGTGATAGTTATAAATATGAACACAGTACATTTGGCTGAACTTGTGCAGTAAGTACTGATTCAGTTCTGGGCATTTAACAGTTAAAGAAATTATTTCAAGACATTGAGTGCTTGTGTATATATATATATAGTGTCTTATCCTAAACTCCAGGCTTCAGCACATCTCATCTCTTCAATTGTATTGACAAAGCCACTGCTGTCAGAGCATAGTTTGACGGACATCAGATGTAGAAATGTTTAACCTTCTAGTCTTGGAGTTGTGACATAATGTGTTGTCTTGTTTGTCCACTAGCACATTTCACAGTCATGTCTCATTTGTTGTGTACCTATGTTTGGGGGGTTCTTTCGTCAACCCCCTACATCACATTTTTTGAACATTTATCCTACTTCATGGTTATTTATAAAGATTTAAGATTACAACCACTAACCTAAGAACTCTATAAACACTGGTTGATAACTGCTTAAGGTGTAACATGCCAGTAATATTGTGTTAACTCAATGTTCTATGTCTTGTGCAATGTGTCATATGTTGATCGCATGTTAAAGTGTACAAGTCTTTGCACACTGGTGTAGAATTTCTGTTGAACTGAGATCTCTAAAATATCAATTTTCTTAACATGCAATAAAATGTTGGTCTGAGAATATGGAGCAATTATTTTCTGTTTGTGCTTTTCTATGTCCAATGTTTGCTGTAACGCAGAATTGCTCTTAATGCCTTACTCTTTGCCATATTGAAATTTTTATGTTTCCCTTAAACAGTTGGAAATAATACAAAAATCATGCAAAACTGAATAAAATATGGAGAAATGATTTATAGTGAAAGCAGGCAATGGTTCCTGTATACTTAATTCTTCTTGGTGCACATGTCTTCAGGCGTAGCTTACAGTTTTCAGGTTTCATTTGTTTTGTGAAGAAAATTTATAAAAGAAAGAAATAATAAAAAGTTATGCATTGAAGACAAATACTTATGACCAGCTAGTCAGTGTGTTTGTAACATTACTGGCAGGACTAAGTTCACAGCAGGTACAGAATTGTACATTATACATTTCTTCTTTGTACAGTGTGTAAATATCTACACATTTTAAAAACTGAAAAACCTGCACCTACCTTTAGAGCTTGTAACAGATTGTCTTTGAGCGCAACTTTTTTTTATTGTTGCCATCGGTATAAAAAAAACCCATTGAATCTTACTTATTGTGTGTCTGTTAAATAAAATCTCTAGTATTTAATGCCAGGTGTATGTAATTACTTGATATGTTCAGTGTTATGTACCATTCAGATTATAGCTTAGCATCATTAGTATTATTTAGATTTATGCTGTATTGTATTTCAAATCACATAGTGGAACTTGGAATGGTTTTTGAATGCAAAAAAGAAAAAAGTGTTAGGGAAAAAAATATAAACAGAAATATCCATAACTATAACAGATTGAAGACAAGAATAAGAATCCCATATTTATTAATGATAAATACATGACCTTTTTATGGAAGGTTTTCTTGTTAAACAGGAAGTTTGAGAGGAAGAAGTCTCATTAATTAATTTTTGATATTGGTGAAATGAAATACAATGACTGATGTGACCTATGTAAACTGAAGACAAAACCCTGTTCCTATCACTGCTGTCATATGAGTCTGTTGACAAGTGAAAATTTTTGTGTAAATGATTTAAATGTTGCTGGTTTTTATTGTTGTAATTGTTTTGTAAATTTGTTTATGTAGCAATGTATTTTAATTATTAAAAATGATGAAAAAAATCTATGATAGATGTGCAGAGCAACAAAGAGATCCATGTTTGGTGATTAATATACTTCAGGAACTATTTGAATTATTTGATTTGACTTGGATTTTTATGATTTCTAAATCTGTAAAAATTAAAAGTAATATTAAAAGATTAAACTTGAGGAAAATGACAAACGATGAAAATGTCATTCATGTGACAGTTGTTGTTGCTTTACACATCATCATTAAGAGCTAAACTTGACATTACTTTCTTTAAACTAAAATAAGCTTTACAAGAATTAAAGAAACTAAGTCTTTAGCTAAAAAAAAAAAGTAAAATATAAAAAAATTTGCATTATGCCAAATTTAAAAAAAAAAAAAGAAAAATTAAACTAAATATTCTACAAAACAAATGTATGGAAAAAAAAAAAAATAACAATATTAATAAACAAAAAAAAGCTTTAAAAAAATTAAAAAAAATAAATCTTTAGCAAAAAAAAAAAAGTAAAATATAAAAAAATTTGCATTATGCCAAATTTAAAAAAAAAAAAAGAAAAATTGAACTAAATATTCTACATAACAAATGTATGGAAAAAAAAAAAATCACCATATTATCAGCACCATTTTGTCCCCAGTCGTTTCCCTTGAATGCTGATCAATAATGATTACATACTGTTTTAACATTTCAGCTTTCTTGTTTGATTTATTAGCAAGAATCCTATACTTTGGTTTCTCTATTCTAAATCACATGTGTCTTGTGTATGTTGTATACTTGACAGAACTATCCACAACCCGCAGACCTGTATGTGTTTGTTCTCTCAATCATATGTGCAACATACAAATGACAACTATCCACAACTGCAGACCTGTATTTGTTTGTTCTCTGAATGATGTGTGCAACATACAAATGACAACTATCCACAACTGCAGACCTGTATTTGTTTGTTCTCTGAATGATGTGTGCAGCATACTAATGTGATTTTAATTTTTTTTTTTTTTTATGTTGCTGTAACCCTGCAGAATCTGCCCAATGACATTAGCACCCTCTCAGTTCATTGACATTAGCACCCTCTCAGTTCATTGACATTAGCACCCTCTCAGTTCATTGACATTAGCACCCTCTCAGTTCATTGACATTAGCACCCTATCGGCTCATTTAAGGCATTGGCATTCTCTTACCGTTTATTAATTCAGGGTCACTGAACAATTGGACCTAAGATGCAATGTTTGATACATTTTGGAAAGTCTGTTTCATTTCCCATTTCTGATATGCTGAAACCTGTTTAAAAGTAAAATTTTTTTGGGGAAAATGTGAACATAAGAAAACTGAAATGTTAGTGTGATTACATTTTAAAGATGTTTACATTTTTTTAAAAAATATTAAAATGCGTTGTGTACCAATGGCCTCTCATTGGTTGATTTGTACTGCTGCAAGCTGTGTGGTGATCCTTCAAATGAAATGTTTTGAAATATTTTTTTGTTCAGAATATTCCAGTGCTGTAGAGCCATTTTCCCCCAATAAATGTTGTTTGTTGATATGACAGAGTCATAACCATTTGTGGATAAATGCCATCGGTTACAGTTTTCTCTCCATGTGGATAAATATGACTTATTGGGACTCTGAGAAATGTTTGTTCCCCACTCTACAGATTAAATATATTTATATATAGTATATATGTACTGTAGAATTCGCACTATTAAATATTAATACTGTAAATTTATGGAGAGGAAATGAATGGTTATTGATAGGGCGTAGGTTAAACACCACCTATGGTGTGTATCATTAGTTAATTATTGCCATGATCCTACACTGATGACAGGCTGTGGCCTGATTGAATAATCCATTCATTGATAAATGGGAAATGATGAAGCTGAAATTAAATTTTTGGTGCTGTGTTGAGATTTTAATATTTTATTAATTAAAAAAAAAATCTATGCCACTCATATATCATTGATTTTCAACAAGATATCAATGTGTGTGGGGTGTTGTAGGGCTACACTGTGTGTGGGGTATTGTAGGGCTACACTGTGTGTGGGGTATTGTAGAGCTACACTGTGTGTGGGGTATTGTAGGGCTACACTGTGTGTGGGGTGTTGTAGGGCTGCAAGGCATTAATTGGATATTCGACAAACTTGAGATGGTCATCTTAAATATGCTTTGAAGATGATGATAACCTCACAAAGATATCAATAGTGATGTTATTGGATAACCATTTCAGCATTTTCTAGCTGGTTCTATTAATTATTTAGGTAAAAAAAAACTTAAGACTAGACTGAAATATTAATTAGTTGAATTACAAGATATAAATTGATACAATCTTTGATCAGGTGTTGATGTTGTTTGATATTTTTACAGATTGAAACTTTCAAATAGCAGAACTGAAGTTGTGAGACTTAGGATGAGTTGGTCTGTGTTTTAACTGTACAGCAATACCTGCCGTACATTTATATTTCCCTGTTGATGTATTTATACAGGGTCTGATGTATCTCATACCCCTGATTGGTGACGACATTTTTTTTTCTGTGGATATAAGGAATCTTTCTCAAAAACTGCTTCCAAGCAGGCTCTATTCCATGGCATTTTAATATGCTAAATCTAGTGTTTGTATTGTGCTATTTTTGTTTTATTTCATCTTGTTTATCAAAGTCCTCGTTGAGTAGACAATAGATGCCGACAAAAATGTTCGTCATGTTGCGGAGACCTCACAATATGAAGATAAGTGAATAAATTTTTGTTTAAAGTGGATACGTGAAATGAACCTATCATTATAAGAAAGAAAGTTTGACAATTTAAATCTCAACTTTTCTCCATGGCATGAGAAGGAAATTTTAGAAATTGGAGTGTATGATCACAAGTAGATTTCAGAAAGTACATTTCAGAAAGAAAAAGGAATCAATAGATAGCAATTTTGTATCATAGTTGCTGATAGAGACATGTTTGATACATTTGCAGGAGCTGTACACCTGTGGTTGGGAAAAGTGGGTTGGACTGCAATAAAGCTTTTCAGTAGACTAAGACACAAAAAATGTTATGTTGAGCATTGATTATCAATAGACTATATACAAATTCAAACATTTTGGCTAATGCCTTCATCAGTACAACAAAAATCAATTTAATTATAAATTAAATGCACATAATTATGTTTATCCTGTAGACCTTAATAAAAATGAAAGAAAAAGAATGGGTAGAAGTCCCCAACGAGACCATAAATCTGTAAAACTTTGGGGAAGTTACAATATATAAATATAAAGCAAACAGAATGCAATAGACAAGTACTGTTACAGCTATGTCCAATGTGGTAAGCAACTTGAATTGTTTAGAAATTGGACAAAGGTTTTGTTTATGTGGTACAGATATTCTCTAAACCGGTCTTCAAGATGATGACCTGTCTTCCCTATGTAATATTTTACACATTTTTACAAATTTATTTTATAATTACATTGTTTTTTGTTGTACTGATGACGGCATTTGCCTAAACATTCAAATTTTATACTTTCTAATCATAATCAAAGCTAAACAAATGTTTTATTTGTACAAATTGTGTCAAAGTAATCTGTTTGGGAAAAGTATTTGAAAAATTTAGGGCAAAATCTGCTAAATTTAGAATTTTCCTGTCAATTGTCATATCTTGCTTTTTTATGTGAAAGGCTATACAATTTTAAACATACCTTACCAAATAAAAAAAGCTTCATTAAAAAAGCAACATTATTTACTAAAGCTAGAAGTTCTCCTGTTGGGAAATGAAATGTTTACAAATCATATGGTAAAAATCCACATATTGCAATCTGTACCTGTGCCATTAGTCCTACTTTAAGATATACAATTTAATATCTTAATGATTTAAAAGAGTAACATAAGGTGATGGATATTTCTCACACAAGATTTTTTTCACATTTTTCTTCAGAATTTATTTTGTTGTGTTGTAAACTGCTATGCATGGAAAGCTTCCAGTCTATGGTAGCAGCTTACTTTGATGCATGATTGATCTCGTGTGAAATCTGATGGTCTTTATGCAAAATATCAAAGCTTTGGCTACAAAGATGTAGACTACTTATAGAGGCTTGTTGATAGAAAGACAAATAAACAAACATAAATTGTTGCATTCAAACCTGACTTTAACCTTTTTTTTGTATTGTTTACTTGTGACATGTACCATTAATTTCAGTTTCTTCTCTTAGTTCTCTTATATAAATTATAACAGTAACAGAACTAGTTTGTCTGCTGGTTCAAATGTTGTCTATGACGTCATAACATTCTCACATAGAAACTGATTATTCTCATGTCAAATTATTTCAGGCTAGTTATAAATTGTTTAAATCTTTTTCATTCTGATTTTTAATTGCTTATACAATAACAGGAATTAAGTTTTCCCGCTATTCGGACCTGGGTCTAAATCCCATTCGGATTTCATTTGTGGTTTATTTTAGTTAAACTGAAGAAGTAAGTTTACAAACATAGTCCATTCAATTATCTTTCATTTGATACCTCATTTTGTCTTACAAACCCAACAATAATATTTTAAATAGTTTTTTAATCCCAACCTCTCACTTCTGATACCCGGGTGCGAATAGCCACTTCATTTTTATAAACCTTGATCTACTTTATATATTATAGTTACACGTTTAGTCATGTACACACCAAACTGTATTTTAATGTAAAAAAATGTTTTTGAAAATAATATTTAAGTAAAGATAGAGCTCCATGCATCAGTGATGAGAGTAGTCAAAAGAATTTTAAAAATGTTGTATGTCTTGCAACTAGAACATTAGCTGCATTAAAAATATTTCTTTCCCCCAGATTAACAAACCATGAAAATTTATTTTAATTGAGGAGTTTTATTCCCATGAATGGTCTCATGTTCCCATGAATGGTTTAAGAGAGGAGGTGTTTTAGAAAAAACAAACCCAACATATTTATGTTTTTGACAACAGAAGTTTACTCACAATGAATGACAGCATTTGTACAAAGAAATAAAAGTAGAATGCGCAATGCCGAAAAAATAGACACCTAGTCTTAGACCATATTTGAAGGTGTTTTCGGCTCTTGACGGTTGATTGAGGTGACAGCTGCCGCACCTTTGCCAATGATGACACATCAATGTACATAAAATATAAATATTATAAAGAAATATATATGTGTGAGTAGTTTAATAATTTTTTTTTGTTATATATAATAATGATAGTATCTGTAGCTATCTAAAAGGCATTGAGCCCATGTGAGTATCACACAATGCCATTAGTTTTAAAACATTTTCAAAACATCAGCTTTCACAGGGCTACTTATGAGCATCAACAAAAAAAATTCAAAGGCATCCAAATGCAGTTTGGTCCAACCAGAAAAGGGGTGAGAGGAAAGAGTGTCTAAGACAACCAGAGGGGTCTATGACAACCAGATGGGTCTTTGGCAAACTGAACATTCCTATAATATTGGCTTAAATGATAAAATATGTTTTAACCTTAAAAAAATAAAATTCCCTAAAACAACTATGGAGTAACAACAAAATTTCCCGAGGCTAAACAAGTTTCAGATCAGCTGGGTCCTCATACAAACACCAGTGAAGTAAAGAATAAAAATGAACTTGAAGATGTCAGCATAGGCAGTTGTTTGTTTCTTTTCTTAAAAGGGATCTGGAAAATTGGCATAACTAAATATTCGTGCGTTTATGATAATTAATAGTTACATCAATAAGTTCAAAAGCTTGCGCAAATCCAACTCATGATTGAACTCTACATAAAATTGAAGAATTTAAATCATTTTGAAGATGTTGAGTAAATTGGCTCAATGTCAGACTATTTGCAGGGAAAGCCACTAAATGTTGAGATTTCAAAACATATTTAGGATTTAGTTGACTTCTATTGCCTTATTTTAGAGAAGTTAAAAGATAACTTCAATTTCCAACCTTAGATATTTTAAACGTATCAGATATTTTACTGCCTCGACCCTATTAAAAAAGTTCTTTTCTTTCTAATAAATATATCTTTGCCCTCAACTTTTCAATTTTATATTTTTTTGCACTAAAATCTTTATTAATATGAAAATCTTATTATAAAAAGAGTCCCATTTCATTCCAAATAACCATGCATTTTCTCTCAAACCTCTGTTCTTTGTTTGTACCCTACTTGTTATGTCACACACAGATTACACATTTAAGAACTGGAATCATAATTAGATGCACACATTTTTATTTATTTAACTGACATAAAAAGTATTTGCCATGGATGGGTTGTAACAGTGGACTTCTTACCCCAGAAACATCTCCTGAATGAGTATTATAGCAAGATGATTTAAATTCTCTCCTCCCATTTTGGTTACTGGTATTTAAATTTGATCCCCCTTTAATTTTAATGGAAGCTGTGCATTCAGTAGAAATATGTTTCTAAAAATATTTCCTGTAGTCCATATCTCACCCCACCAAAAAAAAAATGCTTGGGATACAAAAAAATAATTGAAACCTATGACTATGATACAGCCGGTACGGTACTGCTTTTGTACAAATAAACAAAATTAAGTGAAGAAAAATCTTCCATATCACAAGTTTGAGGTTTAAATCTCCCAACTTGATGTTTCGATGATGACCATGATAATAATTGTGATAAAAATGTAATAACAAGAACATAATTCAACATATTGCTTGAACAACATGGCAAAAATTATAATACATAATACATATATGTAGGGGCATCTGTAAAAGTAAAATGGCACATACTTTTCTTAACTCTATACAAAATTTTAAAAAAAGGATAAATATTTTGCAATCAAATATTTGGCCGTGAAATATTTTTGTTTTTCAGATTTATTGATGCACCTTCCCAAAACTTATTAAACCAAAAGAACTCTCGACATAATTTGTTTGATGCTGTAAAAAGGAGAACAAAGTGGAAAGATTCCTTTTATTTCTAAACATTTACTTTGTTTTGGCATGCACAGAATAAGCCTTACTATAATTAAATTTAAGCAGTCAGATCACTTGCAGATAGCACTGAAATATTCTTGGACATTGAGTGAGATCACCATATTATATACTATTAATTGCACTTCCAAAACCACAATACATGTGCTTGGTATGTGGTAACAAAGGTAGACAACTCACTGAAATAACACGATTCTGATGACAGGAAAAGTTGGTTATCTTTGATATTTGAACTTGCCTTAATGTTTCTGGTTTTGTCAGTATGGTAGAGAAGAAAACTAAAACAAATGTCTTTGTATACATTTATCCATAAGTCTTTAATATGTTCAATGAGAGGAATAAAAACAAGAGTCGCCGTTACAACAAAGATCTAACTTTATTCAAGTTTATGTTTTGTCAACAAAGAAAATAAATAATGAAACAAAACTACGAATAATGTATAAATTGACCGATGAAAATGGCTATATGATGATGTTATTCAACAAATGAGAGTGACCTGCCTGTCCAAGTTACCTCACTCAACTTCCTCTTGTACATTCTAATTATCTTTTCTAAAATAAAAAAAAAATTTAAAAAATGCCATTTAAGAAATGGACATTACAAGATTTTACACTGTCAGTGTCATTAAAAAAACAAAACTTTAAACAAAATCAATTTTGGTTGTGATAACAAGGGGGATAATTGTTGAAACAACAACAAAACCCCAATATTAGTTTTAAAATTTGTTTAAAAAAAAACTGTAGGAAAAGGTTTGTGCCTCCTTACATTTCCCGTTCAGTCACAAGCCAGAGGCATAAATGAAGGGTCAGGGTGGGTGAAAAGGTGTGTGTGTCGGGGGGGGGGGTTCCAGTGGGTGTAGAGGAGCCAGTTATGACATGCACATGGGAAAGCCAATGCCAGTGGGTGGAGGGGAGCCAGTTGTGAATGTACACAAACACTTGTTTTGGGAGATGCACTAAAAAAATTTTGAAGGGTCAGGGTGGGTGAAAAGGTGTGTGTGTCGGGGGGGGGGGTTCCGGGGGGTGTAGAGGAGCCAGTTATGACATGCACATGGGAAAGCCAATGCCAGTGGGTGGAGGGGAGCCAGTTATGAATGTACACAAACACTTGTTTTAGGAGATGCACTAAACAAATTTGACCAATTTTATCATTTAATTTCTAGATATAAGTTGTACACCAATAGATCAACAATGGTTGATGTTCATGCAGTTGACATTGTGATACGTTCATGTCACAAATACATTGGACAAGACACATAGTTATATTTATATATGTATATATTTAAAGTAAGCGCTTATAAAACACATTAGTACTGATCAAAGTGACAACATATTTCCAGTAGTTACAGAGCAATGCACTAGGCTAGTCATAACAGAATTGGATTCACAATATACTCATTGATATGAATGGTTGGAAACAGACAAGACAAAGATTACACATTACACTGATGTTATTTTTCTTATTCGCCATAGATGATCCACACAAAAATCTAGTATCACATGTAGAGAGTGTATATGGAGAAATTTTTTTATAAAAGAATGGCAGCGTCACAAAAGTTGAAAGAGTGTGGCATGTTGTTGTGTTAGATGCAGGTGATGTTCTGTACCAGTGCTGTGGTGGAGAAGTTATGACTCAAGACCACAGTTCTCTACTTGAATGTTCCATTTGTTTTCCCCGATTTGTGTTCTAGATCCTGGAGAAATTTACTCTATAGATATTTACTTTTAAACCCTTTCTAAAATCTTGACCATGGGTTAAGTTCGCTTTCAACTACAGCACTGGTGGGGCCAAATTACATTCTTACAGTCTCTAGAAAAAAAAAAAAAAATTATTAAATGGTAAAAAGGCTCTTTTGAATGGGCCAATATATTAATTTCCTGTACAATAAGAAAACCCTAAACAGCTTACATACAGAAGTCTTGACTGTCTAATGCTGATTTCTGACATGTTTCAGTTACAAGAATAGACAACAACAATTGATCCATCCAAAACACAGCCCCCTCCCCAATGTTCCACTTCCTGCTAAGGACTATGTTGAAGATAATGCTTGGTTGTAACCTGAGACAAAAACAGCTCTTAAAGATGACAGATCCAAAATAATAATGATTAGTTTGAACACAGCCTGTAAGATCATTTGGAACAAGCAGACACACTTGAGAGATACACTAATGGTGGGAAATATCTCACATTTCTTA